GTAAGCTTATAAGGCTGTCGAGTGTTAACCTATCTCCCTTTCTAAATAACCGCTCTTATTATCGCTAAGTTAGGTTTAAGACCTCTTATTAATACCTATATATCCGTACTAATATAACGTAGGAGATAGTAGTTTAAAAATATTCGAATACTTACGTATTTTATAATTAAATTTTATTATATATCGCTTATAAGCCCTTTCTTTTCTTAGCCCTTTTTCTCGCCTTCTTATAAAAACCGAGAGTAGGGTAACTTACTACTCTAATTAAGTACTATCCCACTACCGTACCGGTTATAATATATATAAAGGTTCGGAAAACTAGCAATCTCCCTAAAGATTTAATATTACTTATCTAGAGCTACGGTCGATATTAGCTAATCTCTAATAATCTATATAACGCCGTAGATTGCTATAACGTTATAGAATATATAATAATTTACCTTCTTAGCTTTTAGTGGTAATAGTAGCTACTACCGGCTATCTTCTAGCTAAAGCCTTCTAAGGTCATTCTAGATTTTATTATAGGGGTATAGAAAGCGTCGTTATCGAAAAGAATACTAAGTAAAAACTTATACAGGCTTAATATAAGCGACGGATTATAAATAATCTTAGGAATAATAAAAGTGTTCCTACCTAATATTAGTGATATACACTTATAAGAAGAAATACTTCCTATAGAAAGTGTTAATTAACCTATACCCTTATGTCACACTAAGATACGTGTTAGTAAACTTATAGGTAATTTTGAGTAGAGTACGGGGCGGGCCCCCTTTTAGATCTCGTTAGATTAAGTACTATAGGTGCTTATATTAAAGCTTTCTTATTACACTTATTCTATTCACTATAAAGTAAGCTATAAGATTGTAAAGGTATTATTATATTCGTTAAAATCTAATATAGAACCGCTTTTCTATCGTGCGGAGAATAGTCTCCTATAAGATAACTATATCTTTAATAAATAGCGGTGGCTTTTCTTTTTCGTCGGTGATTAACCCTTTACTTTTCACGATTTTCCGAATACTCTTTAGAGATTATTCTATTAGTGATATATCTATTATTAGAAAGTTCTAGCCTAACCTTTCTTATTCTTTGTCCTAGATTATAGGGCATAGGGTCCTCGTTAGTTTTCTTATAATAGCGAAGAAATATCTTCTAGTATATATTAAGAGTACTAACCTTCTTAATACCTTTTACGCATCGCCTATCCCGACCGCGCTTTACTCGAAGTCCCTAGTAGAGAAACTTCGTAAATTCTCTCTTTCTAGCTATCTAGAGGGCGTGTTAAGGGTCTTTCTATCTTAAATTAGAAGATATATACTATTTTTAGTGCTATTTCCGATAGAATCTAGCGCTAGTTAGGTAATAGGCTAAGGAGGATATCTATAGGTTCGCTTCGCCTACCTTTCCTAACGATCCTTTATAAACGTAATCTAGGTCTTCGTACCTTCTATATAACTATCACTATCGCTATTAGATAAAATGTTATCCGACTCGATATCTAGATCTATTATAGATTCCCCTCCGTCGGTATCGCTTAAGCTTATATCGTTCCTCTACCGGTCTTAGGCTATTCCTATATCGTTTAGCTATATTCCTAGTCTAGGTTTCTTTTTTCGCCTTATATAGCGAGCCTAACTTCCTCTATTATTATTAGATATATAGCTAGAACTAATTAATAACCCTTAGCTAAGCCTATATTTATTAACGAGGGAAACACGAGAGTGGCGTCTACGAACTAACACTAAGGGAGGTTCTAGGGTTAAGATATTAGTTTCGGATTTAACGTCACTTATCTCGGACTCCGTGCGAAAATATTAGGAGTGAGGGCTTCTATCGCTAGATCGACTCTAATACCTTACTATCTCGCTATATCGGTGGTATCGATTAGAGTGGCGTGCGATATAGGGAGATATAGCGATATAAGAATACCTAGCCCTTAAGGTCAAAGTGGTAGTGTAGTATAGATACGAGTATATTTAAGGGGAAGGGGATATACTAGAAAGAATATGATCGTTCTAAGGGGTTAGAGGCAATATTTATAATAATATAGAATGACTGCTATTACCCGTATAAGGCGAACTAATTTTTTTTTTACTATCTTCGACTAGGCCCACGTATTGAAAGATATCGACGATACGGGAATCGGCTAGAAATGGGAGGTGAGCTGAGGGTGCGTAGGGGTGAGCACTAGGTAAGCGATAGGTAAGCGCTGGGTGAGCGATAGGTGAGCGCTAGGGGAGTAGCGAGCGAGTGATAACTGGGTGGGCCGCAGGCGTATTAGCGCGTGCGTGCGCGAGTCACTGTTTGGCCGTGGCATAAATCCCCTAGGCCGACGATGCCATTTTCGGCGTTAAATGACGCTGAAAATGGCAGCTCCGGCCCAAACAGAAATATACATCTAGAAGATAATACTAAAATTCCTCTCCCTCCTATATAACAACGGTCGTCTAGAAGAGTTCGGAAGGTTTCTAAGCTACTTAATAGATATATATTAGATAAGAACTAGTTATTATTTTATTTATAGTTTTAAAATAAAAGCGTATATCATAACTTCTTATTAATATGTCCTTACGCAAATTGCGAATTTGCACTATCTATAATTCTAATACTATAAATAAAATACTCAAAAATATAGGGCAAATCTATATAACTTATGCAAGTCACGAGATTAAGCTATTTGTCTTGTTTAAGGACCCTTAGGGTCGGTCACCTGCGGGTGACCCTCCGAGGGTCCAACCTCAAGGTGGACGACCCTTAGGGTCCAAAGTTAGGCAGCAAACCCGCCCCGCGGGTAGGCCGGGGCGAGGATAATGCGGGTGACCCGCGGGTCACAGCCAGGTCTACTCCGTGCTATAGGGTACCATAAAAGAAGGCTAAATATTGCGAACCTAAACCTACCTCATGGGTCGGGTTTCGACTACTAGAAAGATACATTGGGTTTATATTTTGTTTACTTTTTTAAGAAGTTCTCTTTTTGACGGCTGTGAATTCTACAATGTTTAGTTTATGGGGCCTCTGAGACTTTCAACTAAAGTGGAAGAGGTGTCTTGATTGAAATATATATATATCTCCTCAATAAGCCTTCTATCTGACCCTCAACATCGTGAGGCTAGAACAAATTTCCTAGATCGACTCGTTGGTCACTATCCTATGATCGAGTTGATTGTCAACAGCCTGCCGAAAAACCAATTTCTAGTCAAAACCTGACTACATTGATTCACTACTGGTCCGGCTGGACCTTTCCTTCTGGGGAACCTCATGGCCTTCACTGGCTGTGGGGAGAACCAGGGCTTTTACTATGAAAAAACTAGAGTGTTCAAAGGAGCCCTTTGCTCGAATACATTAGCATGGAATAATAGAATAGGACGTGCGGTTCTATTTTCTTGGCTTCTAGGACCGCCATAATGATTAATAGGGATAGTCGGAGGCGTCAGTATTCAGCTGTCAGAGGTGAAATTCTTGGATTTGCTAAAGACTAACTACTGCGAAAGCATCCGCCAAGGATGTTTTCATTAATCAGGGAACGAAAGTTAGGGGACCACCGAAGGGGTGGTGCGTAGTACAAGGAAGGAACGTACGAGACGTTCAAGCGCAGCGGCATCCCCGGCGTACGGTGGGGACACTAGCGATTATCCAATTGCCCCCACTAAGCCCCTCAGCACCGGTCCGCACGCAGGTCTAACTAGACGTGCGGTGCACGACGCTTCGTATAGGAGTCGTCAATCCAGAATATTGTACATATTCCAAAATGTCTCAGAATATACATTCTTATTGGGCTGGACCCTTAAGCTTAAGCTAAACCCAGAATTGACAAAACTGCGAGAGACATTACCAACCCGGACCCACAGGGGGCCATGGGTAATCAGTATACTGTAGATGAAAGGGGAGGATTAACGGGGACTCTATGGTTACACTGAGGCTGTGCATTGTGAATTTCTTTAGCTAACTGTGGGAAGAGGTGGGAGAGGTAACAGCTCCCACTAGGTCTTGAATAGGCTCTAGATTGCCAACGCTGTTTCGTGAGCTACTGCATGTATGTCCACAGGTCGTTGTTGTAGCCTGGACATTGCTTCGGTCAGCGGGGGTGTATGAGATAGAGCCTCATCATAATTTTCCCTGGGTAGCGGTAGATGTGCAGAAAAATGATGAGTGGTTGAATTCAATAGAATCAGGATACCTCAATGCTCCACCGTATCGATTTATTTGTCAGCCTAGTTAGACTCTTTGAATAGAAACAGAACCGGTGAAGCGCAAAAAGGTTGTTCAGAAAAATAAAAATGAGAAGTACCTCCGGTAAGTTCTACTTGGTTTCATTTCAACGTGTCATGGATTGCTTGGTTTAGATACCAAGCTCGATAGTACTCAGCCGCTTTATAAATTATAATATAGGGGCACGATAGGCGTGGCGAAGGTTCGGGGGCCAATTCGATAGCTGCATAAAAGAGCCAAATTCCTTGAGGCCGATTCGCGGATACAAAATATGCCGCCAATGTAACAGTGCCTACCCCAATACTTGGCCCAAAAGGAGCGATCTTAACGAGGCTTTAGATAAAGTCAATCCAGGTACCCGCAGGGTTGGCGATCATGATAGGTGGGGTGCGTGGGACCGCCCGGGGGCCGCCCCCGGCGTATGACGCCACGGACCGTCGGGCCAGGGTTCCCCTTGGAGCTACCCTGATTCCGGCAACCAATCATTTTGGTCAACCCATACGCCGCAGCTTGAAAGCCTCCAACGAGGCGAGGATCCTTTAATATCCGGCGACATGTTGGTCTTTTTTTACGCCAGATTTGCGTTAAGGGGCTGTATTATACGCTTTTCAACGAGAAAGCTCATACTAACGAGGTCCACTATGTGGTAAATGTCCAAACGTTTTCGGTTAATGAGAGAAGATGCGGGCTATAAAGACCTCTTTCCCGTCCTCCCTAACCCTCATCCATAATCATTTTCCAATCATCCGAATCACTCAGCAATTCCAAGCCCATCCTCTTCTACCGACAGCATGGTCAAGCTCAGCATCCTCTCCATTGCCTCCATGGCTGCCTTTGCCTCTCTTGGTGCGGCTAAGAACTGCCAAACGCAGTTTGATTACTGTGCTTCGGCTCTTCTCACCAGAGGTTAGTAAAGCAAATGGTATAATTTGAGTTACGATAAAGCAAATTACTAAATCGATATCAAGGCAATTACGACACCCAGATCCGGAACGCCGTTGCAGATGCTCAGGGCGCGTATCCTGGTGTAACCAGAGACAACGCCCTATTCGCCTGCCTTGGAGGCTCCAACGGCGAGATCAAGGTTATCCAGAAGTGCGGATACCAGTGCAAGAACGGAGGAGACGGCCATACCGACAGCTGCTAAAGACCAAGTTTCAGTCAGCACAGCTTGATTGAAGCTCTCTTAAGCCATAGATCTTGGCCCCGTACGGATGGGTCTTTTCTGCTGCTTTCCTAAACGGTGTCAGCGTGACTCGGTGTATAACCAAGCAGCTCTATACTAGGTAGTTTCATTTGTCAGAGGCATCGATAGGATCAAATTGATAAGGTCTACATATACAGCAGCAAGTAATTGCTTTCGTCGTTTAGACGGAGTCAGCACAGCATTTACCAGTAGGTTTGAGTTTAGGCATTCGGCGTTACACGGCCTAATGGAATTCTCCAATACCGGCGACATCGAACCCCGTAAGATTTCAGCAGGATGGGGGCGGTTCATTTCATTACCTGGCTCGCACAACTTGTCTTCCTGGTATATGAACCCCTTCTCCAAATAGTCGACTATCTTAAATTTGATCGCTGTACAAGTTGATCGACTCTGTAGTTTGATTTCGCCATCCTCCTGTCTGTCTTTTGCAAGACAAGATTAGGAGATCCATGTTTTCCTTATTAAGAAGAGTTCCGATGGTTATTTTAGAATCTTCAACTTTGGATATACGCTTAGAACCAATCGCGGCTAACTAGTCGTATCTGGGAGATGCGATGACGAGACAAAAGAGAGCACTCGTACCATTGACAAACCGGGCCCTTCTATCACCAACGTCGTAGAATATAACGACCCTTTTCTACAAGCGGATGGCTGGCAAATAATACGACTGATCAGTTCATAGACGCTGCGTTGAACCAATACTCAGCCGATTTGGTGATAGACCATCCACAGAATAGGCGGCAGTGAAAAAATGGCGTTCATCGATGATAGATCCACCGCAACGATATGAGGTATTCCGAAAATAAACCTGATAGTGGAATTCTCTTACTTTAGCATGCGATTCTCCGACAATCTCCTCTTCCGCTAGGACTGATCCTGAGACGGACAGCAAGAGGGCCAAAAAGTAAAAGTCTCTAACAACCCATAGGCTGAGCTGCACAACAAAAAAGAAACAATGGCCGCTTCGCATTTTAATAACCCCTACATTGGGACCCGACATATCACAAGGGACTATTTTTCTGATTTTCAGGGCAATCCCTGTCTAGTGCTACATTCCCACTAGTTCATTCTTCTCCCTCAAACCATACCAAAGCACTAAGCATGCACGTGGCCAATAGTGCATCTAAATCGATCGACGGAATTTATTGAATTTTCGGAGATCGAGGCATATGGATAGGGATTCCATACCTGCAGGTAAGAGATCCACACTCAAGTCAGACCAGTTTTCAGACTCTACTCGAAATGATTTGCTGTCCACGTAGAAGCAAAAGGGCGGGAAATCGTCGCTTGTAGGGGCAAATGTTGGTGTTGATGGGAGCAGCTGTTCAGGTCGAGCTACTCGAAAATCCCGATTATCATACCATGTCCACTCATAAGTCAATCGCACACTGGTGAATTGGATGTCTGAACAAGTTCCTCATTCCGACTTTTGCATTTTGGTTCTCAAGCACTCTCATCTGGCCTTCCGGGATAAAGGAACCTGCAGCGCAATGGGCCAATGGCCGTTCTTAGCTATGCAAACTATCTCTTTCAGACTGGACGGACATTCTGACGTGATCCGTCGCCACTAGCACGCGCTGATAGACGAGAAACTAGCTGAAAGAATAACGGTGGTCTGTCGCGGGAGCAATATGCAAAAGAGAGACTGACAAGTGTATCTTTAGCCTCTATATATCAGGTCCCCGGAGACCAAAGAGCTCTCATGGCTGTATGATACAATTATGCGCGCTAAGACCCCCGCGATCCAGTGAGAAACGTTGTTCAATACATCGAGAGCAGCACCGGGTCGCGGATTATCCTCGCTTCAATCCCGTTGCGCGTCAGTTTTATAAGCTTGATGATATTTGCGCCACTATTGCGGATTGAAAATAGAACCTAAGTACATGAGATAATCGCTTAATTGACGAGATTCTACCTTGAGGCCCATAATCTGTGACTCTGCATTGCGCGGCATTTTGGCGGCTTCAACATCAACAAGCGAGACTGGTTATCATGAGTATAGGCAACAAAATCTTGATAAGGCCTTCGACTTACCGTGAAATTGAAACGGCTTAGAAGTATAATTTCCTAGGAGCTGGAGTGCTCCCAGAAGCCTCCACTCGACTTCCAGGGGCCTGTATCAGGGTCCAAGGAGATCCTATGGTTCTCGGGGGGTAATGGTCTCCAAAGATGACTACGAGCCTGCAAGCAACGAGCACACAACAGAAAACTGACATATCCTTAACAGGCAGGGAAGTAGCAAGCAATAAAGGCAGTTTATTGTTTGAGAAACGGACGGGGAAGGAGAGAAGCTCCGAACCTCCGAGGACTAACTAACTACTCTCATGACCATCCAGGGTCACATGACCTTGTTGGTCATGTGATCTCAACACATATTGAGCCTTCCATGCATGATGAGTATAAACTACTCAGACCATTTATACTTTCATGTGTTGTCTAAGCTAGGGCCACGTGAATTTTGCCTACAGTGCATAAAGCCCTGGCTGTCGCGCTGCGAATTGGTTATCTTTGTCCATTCCGAATTGTGTCGTCGAACAGTCCGGGAAACCCTTTCACACCAGACCCTTGACCTTGCAGTGTCTGCACCGAAACATTTATTACTTAAAATACACATGAGAGTGATCTGGAATAAAAATGATGAGGTTCTAGAATAAAGTATTCTTTTTTTTTTTAAAAAAAAAAGGAATATTACGTGATTTACATACAAAGCGGTAGTAGTACTACCACTAAATTAAAATATATACCACGAAAACCTGCCTATATAAACTTTTCCATAATTAACCACTGAATATCGACGCTTTACGGTAGATAAACACTGATAAGTAGTAGACCTACTGAGTCTCAACATTGCAAGTATTAACACTTCTTTGTTTCCTCTCGAGACAAACTTGACAGATCGCAGCTACCTAGGCTATTGTAGACTTCACTTGACGAGCGATGCCAGAAAATGCTGAGCAATAAACATTAAAGTCTTCGGTGAAGCCATGGGTGAGACTTCACCTCTTTCAGAATTATTCGTTCATTTGGGTTTTTTCTCAACAAATGTTGGAGCAGATCGAAGAGATCCTCATCTATGTCCTCATAGGAGAGGTCCTCGACACTCCTGGTATTCATTTTCGAGTCGCTAGAATGTCTATGTTCGACCGAAACAAGTCGTTTCCTAGGAATGAAAACTTCCTCATAGACTATTTTGCGGAATAGGCTGTACTCATTTCCCGAGATGAACGGTAGTCGACCAAAGATGAGTCCGTATAACGTAACGCCCAGAGACCATACGTCAATCTTATCAGTAATCTCAGGCACAGACCCAATAGTGTCCACGAAATCATCATCGGTGTAGCACAGCTCGGGTGCCATGAATGCAGGGGTCCCAACTGTCTCAGCTACCCCATTGACGCCACTAAATCGTATCTCATCGGTGATGTTCGGAGCTTGTTCCAAATGATATTTGGATCGCTTCATAAAAGCAACACTGAAGTCGGAGATCTTATGTTGACCATTGCCGGTGACTAAAATATTTTCGGGCTTAAGATCACGGTGAATGATTCCTCGGGAGTGGAGGTATTCCAATCCCTCTACCAGATCCGAAAAAGCGCACCGGACTTCGGCTAAAGTCAGACAAGGGACATATGATATCTCATCGATATCTGAAAAGCACCCATCATCAAAGAAGACATGTCCAAAATCTTTGGTGGAACATTGTTCGAATGTGAAATCCGCACAGAGGTCGTCCACGCAACCGGGATGCACAATATCATGTACGGATTCTGGAGTGGAAACTGTACTCTTAGCATCACTTCCGTCTCCTAGAGCAAAAGGAAGGCTTAGGGGGCCTGAAATGTTGGATACGAATCGGGGTTCTTCGTCAAATGAACCCACGACGCCATTTTCCAAGCAAAAGAAAGGGGTTGACATATCGATCTCGTCACCGCTTTCAATCAACTCAGTTGTCAGTGAACAATGTCGCCGCCGATCTTGCGCAGCCCGAAGGAGTTTTCGTCCCTGCCCAATGAAATTCGACAGATCAATCGCTCTTCCGGCTTTCTCAATTGCCCAACGCATCCGCTCAATGCACAATATTTCTGGCAAGCCCTTCTTTCGCCAGATGATACTACGGTTTTCCAGATACTCCAGGACAATGAAGACTTTCTGGTAGGCAGGATCATCGATAAATTCAAAGAAAGTGACCACATTCGGATGCTGCACTTCTTCAAGAACCGCAACTTCCGTAAGAGGATCGGCCTTGCACTTGCTAAAGTTGGACAGATGGTAGGATTTGATTTGTCTCTTTATGATTTTAATTGCAACTTTTTGGTCCCTTTTCGTATCGTAAGCCAGCTTGACTTTGCCATGTTGACCACTTCCCAGTTCACTGAGAATCTCGTATTGGTTAATCATCTTATTTCCCGTGACTGGGTGGCGGCTAATATGGGCTTCGTATGTCCTTTTCATTGGTCGAGCACATGATGAGTGACCGTGCCAGCTGACATGCGATGCCGATGTCGTGGTAGAGCGGCGTGAGCTACTAAGGAATGACACGAGCATTTTTGGTGGCTTGACTATGGCGCGAACGCCACGGTCAATGGTAAGTAGCAACTCGGAAAGGCCGGTAACCTGAGACAGGAAAAAGCCACCATTCATTAGCCACTGGGCCGATTGGCATAGAGTATTCTGTACGTCGACTAGGACACGGGTATCAGGAACAGATGCGCAATGATGGTCCCCGTTTCCCTCTTGGCCATTTTCTGAGGCGCGACTTAACGTGAAATCTCGGCAGTGCTCTGAAAATGAATCGGCAAGGCGAGCAAGAGTCTTTTGAAAGGCCATGGAGCAAGTATTGAAAAGCGGGAATCTGGCACTAACATAATCTTGCATCGCAATTGCTTGCTTCGATAATGTCGCAGATAGTTGTTTCTGGCGTCCCACTTGGACTGATTTTGGCTGCTGGTGCGGTAAGGACGATTTCATAACCGAGATATCAAACACCAGCCTTTTCTGGAGGAACGCCTCGTAAATGATATTCGGAAAAAGGAAAAGGCTCGATATGAGCCACACATTGGGCCATAAATGTTGAATTGTACTCCGCCTCTGCGAAGTGGCTCTGGCAACTTGAGAAGTGGTACGCGATTTGCCCATTGGGAAGTAGGAAGATGCAAACGTATCAGACAGTGTTTAGAAAAGCAGTGACATCCCACTTGAACAGGGTATTCCATCAATAGAGAGGTATCTTTGATATAGAAAGTATATTTGATGTAAAAAGCCACAAATCGTGGTGTTGCGTAGCAATGTGAGACAATTTAGAGGTAAGCCGCTGTCAATACCACCCGGAACCTTGTCAATCGGACCATGATCACGTGATAGAAGAAAAGCGAAGGCCAAAGAACAACGATCAACCTTATCTAGTACCGTAGAAAAAAAGACAAACAAGGCAATTTGTATGTCTGGGCAACTAGAGCAGAAGATTTGGACACTAAAGCATCAAGGACGTTGATTCCCGGAAACAGCGAACTATTTCACATCTATAATATTTACCATAGGTAACTTGCAAAATAGCACGACATTCTTAAAGGTTTGAGGCACCAACTCTTCGAGCAAGTTGCCATAAGCCAGCCGGTGTATTAGTCGTTTCAGATCACCTGTCTCGGTGTCCTAAGTACGTACAATTGTCCGTGGTGAGTCATTAAGCAAGGGTGGTTTTTTCCTTTCATTGCATGTCACCTTAAAAGGTAATGGATTCCATGAAGCATCATGGACGAAGGCAAAGCATAGACAAAATATTGGTTAACGATCACGTCGCTTTGTAAACAGAAGGGTGCCCTTGTACATACAAATGGGACTTACCCTAGTTGAAAGACGACGTGGGCGACGACGCCATTTAGGACAGCAAATGCTATAACTCTCTTCGTCCGAGTATAAGTGCCAGATCTCGACACCTCAATGCTTTTTATTACTTCTTAAGCGAGGGCTCCATGCGATGAGGATATCAATCATTGGGGAATTGAAAGCTGCGGCCCCTCAAATAGTTGGTGGTCGCAGGTGCCATGACAATATACCGGTTAAGATACATATAGTATCTCAATATAGACCAGAAGTATGTATAGTCGCATAATACATGTACATATATATTTCATGGAGCTAGCGGAGAACCTGCCCCCATGGGCGAATGAAATACCATTAAGTAGTTATGATATTCTACGTTACACCTAGAAATTGATGAGTTATAGCAAAAATTCAATCAAATATTTATTGACTAACACACATCTGAAAAATTGAAGTGCAAATCACTTACTAGCGCAACGCAATATATTAAGAAATACAGTCGTAATTCATTGATATCAACTTGTCAAAATACAACTGGCGAACCGTCCAACCCATCGATTTACTCAACGGCAATCTTCTTCGGGGCAGGGGCAGCTGCTTTAGGGACAGAAATGGACAAGATGCCATTCTTCAGACTGGCTTTCACGGCGTCTTGGTTGACGGGCTGGCCGAAAGAGAAGGAGCGCGAGAACTTGCCGACAATGCGCTCGCTGGCCCAATAGGTGGACTTAGAGTCAGACTTGGAGTTCTCCTTAGACTCGGTAGTCTTGGCTACAGCGCCAGAGCTGTTGTTCTCCTCCGTCTGATTCTGTGGCTCGGTGTTGTAAGAGCGCTCAGTGCGACCCTTCACGACCAGTGTCTGCGGGTCGGAAAACTCGATTTCGATATCGTTCTGCGCAGTTCCGGGAAGCTCTCCATCCAGGTGATAGGAGTCGTCACTCTCGCGGATATCAAAGCGCGGGTTAAAGGTTCGCGGTGTAGGCTGTCGGCGGACAGTGCGATGGTGATCGTAGTCGTCGAGAAGACGGAAGAGAGACGAAAAGTCGTCGTTGGCAGAGAAGTTGGTCTGGAAGAGAGACATTATGACAATGAGGATATTCAGGCACTATATGATTTATGACTTTCGAGATTGTGGAAATTGTGAGAATAAAGCTTCGTAGATAGTTCAGTCTGTATTTAGTTGTATCGTCGATGGATGACGGAGCGTAGATGAACGGGATTTTATAGACAAGAAGAGCCAAAAATAAACCGCAGCTTCATCATCTTCCATACTTGACTTATCCTGGTTCTTCTAGAAACTACCGTTCACTATCTCTGGAGTCTCTGGCTGATGCAGGCTGACGCTAGAACCTGGATCCCGTCTTCCCGCCGATTGTGGATCTTTCTCCACGTTTCTATAATCACGTGATATATATGTATCTATCGCCGTGAAGCCTTCTTTGGTGGACGGAAAATCCGTTAGTCCCCGATATTTGTATTATTTCCATGTCCTCGCGTGCATAAATTGCGCATCATCTCTTTCGAGGTGTGCGGGCGCCTCCAATGCCTCCAATGCCGATCCAAAGAGACCGGTTATTAAGACAGGTCGCTCTTGTGCCTCGTGCTGATCGAGACAGGTCAGATTACTCGTTACGTAACCATCCGTCCTCGTGCCTTGCTCACTGAGGGATGACATAACCAGCGGTCTTGCCGGTCCTGATCACTTCGGCTAAGGCTGTTCCATCGATGGTTGCTCTGCCGGCATCTCCTGACTTGATGGGTCAGTGAAGGCATTCATATTGTCGCTGGTAAAATATGGAAGAAGTGGAAAATCAGCTTTAGCTAAATTAGCATGTCCTACCAATCTCCGAACGACTGTCGCACCGAGTCGGGTCCGATTACAGCCCTCCGCAGCAGACGGCTACGCATGGTCGGTGTCAACTTCTCAAGAACACCTATTAAAAGCAAATTTAAACAATAGAACGGTTAGCTTCTATCAGGCCGTACATGATGCACTTGGGTGTTCGATCGAAGCTGTTAGTCCGCAGACACTGCGGGAATTTGACGCAGGCTCTAATAAAGAGATGAGCGATCATCCTAAATATAATCACCAAATTGCAAGGTTCAAGCTGGACTTCGGTCGTGAACAACTGGTATTCATTTTCTTTCTTCCTTTTTCGCGCCAGCAATGGAAAATGGCATCCTTCATTCCAATGTAGAGTAAATAGAGATTGTGTGGGGGGATGCTTGTTTTGAGAGGAAGTTTGTTGTGATGAGAGTTAAGGGTTTAGAGTTTAGAGTTGAGAGCTGAGAGTTGGTGAGAGTTGGTGAGAGTTGGTGAGAGTTGGTGAGAGTTGGTGAGAGTTGGTGTGTTGATGTGTTAATGTGTTGATGTGTTGATGAGTTGATGAGCGTTAATGTCGATGTGGTGAAATATGTGTAGCGAAATATGACAGGACCTCGGATCCATGACCGCCGATTCTCGGGGCGTTCGAATCGCCAAGAAATTGATGCATTTTTACCGATTAATGCATTAGAAATACAATTACTGCATGGGGCCTAATTAGGCTTAGCGTAAAAGGACGGGATCCATTTAGTAAGATATGGGGTCCATTTAGGATCCCCCTAAATATACACCATATATATAGAGATATATTAGGATATAGTACGTTTTAGTAGGGTATAGATTTAAGTGGGTCGAAACCTTTAGTAATATTGTATAAAATCAACATAACTTCATTAAATTGGGGCATAAAAGCTGAGCGGGACCCATACAAAGCTGGGACCCGATGCGGGTTCCAGCTCAGCGGGACCCATCATTAGTCATCATTGTCAAGGGTCCCGTTGAACTCTTCACAGGTCCCGCTGAGCTGGAACCCGATGAGTAACTCCACTGCTACCTGGACGATCGAGACCAGCCGACGAAGAATAATATTAAATCAATCGCATTTTATTAGTTCCTTGTCTATATATCACATTGGTACAAGTGGCAGCTGCATGTCTTGAAAGCTCAACGTCTCAGACACTTGCTAACCATGGAATCAACTTGATTCAATTTCGCTTCAAACAGATTTCCGAAACCCTTTATCTCCTCGCCTTTCATGCCGCGTCGCGAGGCAGCAAGAGTATCGTATTGAAAGGCGTTCAATGATTTATCACTGATTCTACCAACTGCTGCACCAGCGTCAAAGCCCAACAGCATACCGAGAACCGCCACTGGGGCACTGTCAGGGTTCTGCACCATACTGTAGATATCGTAGCCTTCCTTTGCGACGGTCCCCGTCAAAGCGAGTATTGCATCAAAGCCTTCGATGACATCCCCAAGCCCCGAAATCGGACCCAAGAAAGGCAATGCCATGAATACACCACCGATGATCTCCAGTATTTTCCTTTTCTTCTCTTCAGCCGCAACCTTTTCACCTATATCGACAACATTGTATATGCGATCGACTAGCTCACTTAGCGTGAAGACAGCGGTGGATATGGTCTGAACAACATCGTCTATCACGCCGCTAAAGCTTCCGGTTGCGATGCTAAGCTGGGTCGAAATGATCGAGATTTGGAGGTTGGGGATATTTGGCAAAGCCTTTTCATGACATCGCGAGTGTCAGTGACAGTGATGTCCTTGACTGGGACGGGAAATCCCTGCCACCAACTGCATCTGTATCCCCAACTCAGAGGAACGTTGCAGTCAGGCCTGCTGATTTTGTCACATATAATATTCACAATATAGCCACATATACTGTCAGTGGACCGTAAATATAAAATATACCCGTTATCTTGAGCAACGGTATCTCTCTAGTCCGTGAAACACCAACACGTAGACAATTATTACGTCACCGTGACATAAGAGCTGGTTTCGAAGCTTATATACTGCCTGATCGGATTCATTTTACTTAAAACCTAGTGTTAATTGAGAATCACTCGCATTTATCGGACTATATAACCTTCGTGGGCAACATGACGCATGATTCACAAGCTTCGATTCATAATATGTGAGTTTAGAAGCCCCTGCATATTCGCTGATTTCCACCATCTTCGCCTCAATATACGCAATTGCTAACTTTCTTTCTCAGAGACGACGGCGGGAACAGGGACAACAGCAACTGTCATAATTGCAGGGGTGAGCCTAGGTTCTGCAATCAGGGTTTGTAATGCTAATATTGAATGTCGCTTCCCAGGATGCAATAATGTGCGTTTCTACATCATCTAGATCATTCTCCCACCATACTACTAATCTGCCTCCATACCTCTGCTGAAAGATACTTACAAGTGACTCCAGTGTTCCAATTGTAATGACTGCGTCGACTGTTCATACTGCAGTAACTGCACCGATTGTGGAAATTGCAATCAATGTTCGAACATGACAAAGTGTACCAATTGTTACAATTGCTCCAACATGGTACACTGTACTAATTGCGAGAATTGCTCCAATTTGAAGGTTAGGTTTTGTCATGGTGTATAATGGGAAATTGTTAACTGGCTGCCTTTGAACGGATAGAACCGAGACGGCGCTGTCAATGAGTCAGGGTAGACAGATGCGGGCAAGGAATGAAGATCATAGTGTCGGGAAGATTATTGCTTATATGATTGTTTGCCCTCTTCCACTGGTGTTTATAGTGCAGGAAAATGACTGAAAATGTTAGCATACAGTGGATGGATGGGTGGATGATATCATTTTCCCCGACCCCTCGCTGAAGTTGAATTGACCACTTGACCAAAAACGAATCCGTACGCAGTCTAGTGAGTAGTGGGTTTACAATCAACTGCCAAAGTTGGATTCTAAGCCACAACCCACTAGGCTGGGTACGGATTCGTATTTTGTTCTAATTGGGAAATCAACCGGTTATGAGCCCGGATTGCATGACCTTTGAGCTCGCCGGTTCGATCCTCACAGTTTGCGTTCTTTAGCACCCCCCGAGCCACCAGAAGACGGCCTATGATTGGTCGCACAGCCAGGCAGCAGAGCTTTCATACGCGCCCCCAGCCAAGCGTTTATGGTTTACGGGGGAGAGTTGGATTCTAAACCACAACCCATTAGGCTGGTACGGATTCGTACTTTGTTCTAGTTGGTAAATCAACTGCCAGAGCGATATGCAGGCTATAAAAACTGCATATATCTTTGTGGGCATAGGTATCTCGAAAAGTGAAATGAAAGGTCAGTTGATGGAAAACGGGTAGATAATCCGGGTTTGGCCGCTCTGTTAATCGATTATTTCCCTTACCTACAGGCCTGACATCATTTGTTTTGGGCGTTTTGTTACTCTAGGTGGATGTTTAAAGCATTATTTCATGGGTCATGTAGTAAACCATAGCACTTTCCATAGTAATAGACCGAAGAATGATGGAATTACTGCCGATACTGTTTCTCAACCATTTAACACGGCAACTCGGCGTACAGTATGCTCTTTCAAATCTTCTATGGTATGTTGCTCCTCGGCTAGCGGCCACCTTTGGTATTCTATGGTAAGGGCATTGCCAACACATGAGCTTCAGGAAAAACCAGCTTTTCGCAAGTTTTATGAGCTTATCATTTTGCAATACATGGGGGTTCAAATGCCAACGAGGTGGTTTAGGTCTGATCTCTCCTCCATGAAGGAGAGATCCTATTTAATGTGAAGCTTTCCCCTGAGTTATACTATACATGGTAGGTTAAATGCTGATCATGAGCTTCATACTTGGCGAAGCAGGCATTTCATGCCTGGAGGCCCATGAAATCTCAACAAAATGTTCTTACCCACTCCACTTTTTCGGGTCCCCTCTCAAAATATATATATCACTTACACAGTAAATAGCACCACCATTTAATGGTCTATAATATTATAATTAAATTTTAGGGTTGCTTAATAAGAGCACTTTCGAAAATTTGCTTAATATTTGGTGTAATACCCCTTAGCCTTCCTCACTGCCTGCAAACGTCTTCCTATGCTCAATATTAGCGAATCTATCTTTAACTGATCTAATGCCTAAGCTTCCACTAGGCATTTTTTAAAATATTTCTAGTCTGCCTCCGACCTTCCTTGGCTAATAAGCTCTAGAAACATCGTAAAAAGCTTCACTTTTAACCAGCGCTATACTAGTTCAATTGGGTTTAAATCAGGTAAGTGCGCGGGCCAATCCTCGACGTATACTCCGTGAGTTTCAAACCACTCTTTCGTGTCCTCTACTTGATAAATCGTCGCGTTATCTTGCTAAAATACTAAATCAGGGGTATAGATTGGCATCAGACCTTTTTCGAGCGTTAAAATATATGACTTTGTAGTATAACCCCTTCCCGACCGCGATTCTTTGTCCCGTTCTATAATTATTAAATCTATTCGACCTCCTATCTAGATTCCAGCTTAAACCATTTGTGAAATATCTTTAACGTATACTTTCGTATTTATAAGATCGCGGCGAAGACCCTTAGAGTCCGTACGGAAGCACTATTGTGGTCTAAATTTCGAGGTTCGCTGCACCGAACACTCGTCCGAGAAGATCCACGATTAAAAGCTTTCACGCCGCTATTTTCGCGTAAGTCTTAGCCGTTTCCTTGCAAGAGAGGGCTTAATTGGTATCTTCCTTTTCGAACGCTATTTTCTAAGTCCGAATTGCCTTAAAACTCGCTATATAGTAGACCGAGTGTTAGGACCCTGCGAGGTCCTAGTGTAGCAGTATGAGTACGGGAAGTAGAGACTATCGTCGAAGTGTATGTGCAGGTGTCACAAGAGACTAATTGCTGGTCCTTCATGCGAAGGCCAGCGAGTGCAATAAATATAGTGCGCTTAGCTAAGAGACTAGGCGAAATACACGACCATCATGGTCTATGCATGCGCCTATCTATCTACACACTACGCAGCCTAAAGGCTCGCAGTATACTTTTAGGCACCCTTAGGCACCTATCAGGTCGAGGTCCTAACAATATCCCCCTCCTTTAGAGGCCACGGCCCGTGGCCTAAGGTCCCTAAGATTCGTAGTGCGAATTCCGTATTCGTAGTCACGTATAGGTACGGTAGTCTAGCAAGCATAGTCCGTTAAAACCTCACCTAGAGTAAAAACCTTATAGAGGAAAAGCTCGTAGGTAGGAAAGGTAACTAGCGCTAGTGGTGCTAGTGTAGGGTTGTAAGGTCACGTGCTCTATTGTTTTGACTAGAAAACTATCTTAGTGAGAAGTGTTTGCACGGTTTACACTCTTAATAGGAGTAGATAGCGGTGGTAGTGGTCGAGGAAGGAGCATAGAGAATAATATAGACATTATAGTCCTATATTGTTATTGTTTTTCTTCCCTCCTACGCTTCCCACTATCTTTTAAAGTACGTGATTTCTTCTTCCCCTACGACCCCCTATATCCTAGGCATCCTTCCTAATACCTAGGAACCTTATAGACGCGTATAAGCTTCGAAATAAAGCTTTTCCCGGCTTCCTAGGGGTGTCTATGCGTGTCCTAGGCCTTTATTAATACTGCCTAAGGCCTTGCTAGAGCTTCTATAATAAGCTCCACGTCCTTATTAACGTTACTTTAGGCTTCACTAGAGCTTCCGTAATAAGCTCTATACTCCTATTAATATTGCCTAAGGGCTCGTAGTAGTATAGATTCGCCCCCTCCTAGTGCAAAACGGCCCTATTTTGAAAACTGCTAACCTCTTATACGTGTTAATTAGTGGCGGAACCTTATATCCTACGCTTTACCTAGGCCACCGCGGCGGTCTAAGTAGAAGAAGATTTCCCCCCGTAGGACGGTTTTAGTAGCTCTTTATCGGAAGAGGAGGTCGCGGTACGCGCTAGTAGACCTAGGCTAGATAGAGGGCTTCTATGCTAGCGCTACACCTTCCGGTTAGTATAGCACCTAGATTATTAGTGCGTATTGCTAATAGATCGCACTAAGTGCCTCTATTGTGCTAGCGGCCGCCACGGGTATAAGCCGGTACGTAGAATTATATAGGATCTTCGTAGGTAAGTATAATACTAACTAGGTCTTCGTAGGTATACCCCGAGCTTATGCCTAAGGTAGAGCACGCGCTCTCTCCTACTATCACTAGCGAGTAGCGGGTAGTGCTTCTAAAAGGTCTTCTTTAAAAGACCCGGCTTATCACTACCGCTATAAAGCCCGCTATGACCCCTAAGATCGCCGCTAGTGAGGAGGTTCCCTCGCCCCCGTCGTTAGTTACGTCTTCTCCTAAGAAGTTCGTGACTCCTAAGGGAACTCCGGCTCCGGAGGAGTCTCCACTCCGCCGTCTATTACGTTGTAGTAGCTAAGTTTTCTCCCTATTGCGCCTAGCTTCCGGCGTATAGGAGACCGTGCGCGATAGTTTAGGTTAGCCGTAGCGGGCGCCTAAGAGCTTAGTAGGAAGGAGGATAATTTACGGTTAGAGACCGGACTATTTTCCTATATATAATTCTGGGGGAATAGCCCCTATAATACTATTAAGATTTATTTCTCGCGCGCCTCTAGCGCTTTAAAGTCCTTTTAGGTTCGCACTATAGCTTTTCTTCGTATTCCTATAGCGCCTATAATTGCTCTAGGTTCTCTCGAGGCTCCTATATTACTTCTATATCACCGTAGCCTTCCTATTTAACCTAGTATATATAAGGCTTAGTCCCCTTATAGGAAAGGATACGCTTAACCTTATATTTAGGTTAACTATCTATAATAATAGGTGTAGGACCCTCCTATAAAGCGTTTCTATGATACTCCTCTAATATAGAGATATAGAATATCGGATAAATATAGCGGAGGAGCGGCGGTAGTCTCAATTTGTATAACTATGAGCCGAATTTCTCGATAATAGCGAAGGGGCTAATTATCTTTATATCTAATTTCTTGCTAGGGCGACCCGTCTTAATATACTTAGATCGCACGTAGACTAGGTCTCTAACCCTAAATACCTTCTTAAGGTGATTCTTATCGTAATAGCGCTTTATTGCGTCTTTCGCCTTAACTAGCTTCTTATAGAGAAAGTGTTGTATCTCTTAGATATCCTATATCCGACTCACTACGTTCTAGTGATACTCTTACGGAAGCTTATTCACGCTAGCTTAGAGGTCTAGCTTAAACCTAAGTAGTGCCTAGAACGGGGAGACACTAGACGTACTATAAGGAGTCTAGTTATATACGAACTAAGCTATTAGGAGCTATCGTATCTAGTCGTCCTATTCCTAATTGACGTAGGAGCGGAGGAAATACTCTAGCGTCTAATTTTGACGCTTAGTCTAACCGTCTATTTAAGGGTAGTAGGCTATAGAGAGACGTCTTCTCACTATAAGGTAGTAGTAAAATATAGACTAGAATTAACTAGTGAAAAGGCTGCCTTAATCGCTAATAAGGTTCTCGGGTATCCCTATAATAGGGATAATACGCTTATAGAGTAATTCCGCTAAATCGGGTGCGTTAATATCCTTAATACACGGTAGATAAAAGGAATACTTAGTGAATATCTCTATTATCACTAGGATCGTATTATAGACCCTTCCTCTCTACAAAGAGGGTGGTAGGCTAGTAATAAAGTCTAAACTAACCCACTACGCTAGCTATTTAGGTATAGGCAAAGGTTATAATAGCCTATATAGCTTATACCTACGAACTAAATTCCTTTAGCAATTCTCGTAGTCTTCGACGTATTCCTTAATATATTAGGTGAGTCTAGGCTAATAGAATCGTCTACGCACTATATCTAGGGTACGCTTTACCCGGTAATATCCTCCCTAAGGATTATCGTGGTGCGTTCGTAGTATCTCCTCTTTTAGCTTAGTCGCTAAAGGGATATATACGCGATTATCAAACCTAAGTAGACTATCTAATATCTTACTCTAGGGCGTACTATTTAGCCTCGCACTATTATCCCCCTCTATTAGTTAGCGAGAGATATCTAGCGCTTTAGGATCCCTTCCCTACGTATACTTAATAATCTCCACTATAGAAGTTAGTAATATATACGAGTATACTATCTCACTATCTATTACTACCCGCGTAAGGAGGCGTGGCACTAGGGGGTCTAGAATCCCTATATCGCTATTAGTATAGTACTTATCTACTATATCTTTGATATCTTTATAGGCACTATCGGCACTCCTACCGATTATAGGACTTAGCTAATCACTATTTAAGCCTACGAGGCCCTAGCACGTAATAGTACCGGTCCCTAATATAGGGGAGAGAGTTCGCGGTCCTTTAGAATTATCTCGCTATCCCTACGCTCTCACTATAGGTTCCTCGGAATCCTATATATTCTTAGCCACCGGTCCGGTAGTACTAGACTTCGTTAGGATACTACCTAACCCCGGCGCTAGCGTGATACTTATATCGTATTAGTCTAAATTAGACCTTTTGTAGGATCCTCCTACTTTCTTAAGGGAGAGAGGCTGCTAAATAGCATTTCTTATCCGATCTATTATAGATCGCTTATAGGACTATCCTATAAGGGCCTCTTGCCCTAGAGTACGTGTAACTATACTACCTAACTCTATCTAATCTACACTAGATCGCTTATAGGACTATCCTACAAGGGCCTCTTACCCTTAAGTACGTATAGCCTCTACTAACTAGCCGCTATCTAACTCTATTATACCTATTATGATTCGTAGCTTATCTTAAAGTGTAGGTAAAAGCGAATTCTTCCTAAATTCCCCGTCCTTAGGTGCGTAATTAGGTCTCCTACTAGGCGTATCGGCGGGGTTCTTTATACCTAGGCGATACTCGATTATAAAATCGAGCGTAGCTAACTTTTTAGCCTATCTAGCCTAACGCCTACTAAGGTCCTTAGTCGATATAAAGTAGCGTAGGTTAGCGTGGTTAGAAAGCACCACCACTAGGTAGATACTCCCTTCGAGGTAATATCTCTAATACTTAAAGGATTTAATAATCGTAAGTAATTCTATATTATACGTCTTATAGCGGGTCTCTATATTAATTATTTTCCTTAAATAAAAAGTAATTAGGTACTAGCGACCCTCCTAGTCTTACTAGCTAGCGATCCCTATAACTACGTAACCTAAGGTATTAGGTTTAACGCGAATTAGCTTTGTAGGATCGAAATAGGCTAGCACCGGTGGTTCCGTGAAGCGGCGTTTAAGCTCTTTAAAAGCCTTCTATACTTCTAGGGTAAGAGTGAAAGTAGCCTTATTACGATTCGCACGCTTCTTAGTGCTACCCTAGCCCTTTATGGTAGCTATTAAGGGTGCCGTAATACGGGAAAACCCTTCGATAAATCGGCGGTAAAATCCCGCGAATCTAAGAAATTAGAGTATATTGTAGACGTATTAGGGTAATAGCTACTATAGGATCGTCTTAATACGATCCTTCTCTATTAAAATACTATTTAGGGATATTATAAATCCTAAAAAATAGACTTCTTATATATAGAATCGGCACTTACTACGCTTCGCGTATAGTCGATACGTGCGTAGCCTATCTAGAACCTTCTTTATATAAAGGATATACTCCTCCTCACTCTAGGAGTATATCAAAATGTCGTCTAAATAGACAACGTAATAGATATTGAGTAGATCGCTTAATACGCGGTTAATATACGACTAGAACGTCGTAGGCGTATTAGCTAGCCTAAATAGCATAACTATATATTTAAAGTGACCGTATTGGGTGCGAAACGCGGTTTTCCACTTATCCCCCTTACGAATACGAATCCTATAATAGGCGTTCTAGATATTAAGCTAGGTATAGATTACCGCACCTAATAACCGGTCTATAGTCTTACTAATTAATAGTAAGGGGTATCGATTCTTAATTGTGATCTTATTAAGACCCTAATAATCGATATAAAGCGTAAGGAACCGTCTTTCTTAGGGATAAATATGATAGGTACGCCTATTAGACTCTATAAGGGTCTAATCTAGCCCTTTTAGGTCGTATTATCGATATATTCCCTAAGGGTCTTTAATTCCTTTGCTAATAATAAATAAATTAGGCGGTAAGGTAGCTACGAATCTAGCTAAAGATCGATTAGATAATTATATATAGAGTTCTTAGGTAACCTAGCCGTCTAGGACGTATTAAAGACGTCCTTATACTCCTAGTAGGTTTCTAGGAAGGTATCCCCTATACCGGCCGCCGTAGTAAGTAGTGTAGGGTAGCCGTCTTCTTTACTAAATGCCGTAGTAAGTAGCGGAGGAGACCCTAACTACGCCAAAGGGTAGGGATACACTACTAGTATCGTGGCCCCTACGAGGATTTCTCGATAGTAAGCCGCTATAATTATCTTATCTCCCCTTTAGCTAGTTAGTGGCCGCTATTTCTATATATCCTCGGCCTAGTTAATATCTAGATTAGCTCGCACGAGCTAATTATATCTAAGGATAATATTGTATCCTACGATCTTAATAGATTCGTAAGGGATAACGAGGGAGTTTAGGATCCTATCGCTATCCCTAACTTTATAGCCGACCTCGCGGTTCCTATAGGAAGTGATAGGGTATCCGTTAAATATAATAGACCCCTATAAAGGTGTCACTTCCTTACCTAGAAGGTGCTCCTTCGTCTAGCGTTAGTTAATAAAGCTTTACTCTACTCCGCTATCAACTAGCGCCTATACGTCCTTACTACCCTTCTAGGTAAGGATTAAGACTTTATATACGAAGGCTCGGTCGCTCTACCTTCTAGAAACCCCTACTAGTGCTTTAGTAGCTCTAAACACTAGGGGAGTTAGTTTTTTAATAGTTAGGTCTTATCCTACGTAGCTCGCGGGTCTAGTTAATCGTAGCTACTAGTATAATAACCTAGTTTCCCGTATTAATAGTAGGAAATAGCCCCCGATTATATAGAGGGTTAAGTGAATTTTCTCTTAGATACGCTATAGCGAGGCTTCTAGTTTAAGTCGCTAACGCTCCGTTTTTTATAATCTTTTTAGTGCGAATAGGTCTTTAGGTCACGTGTGATACGGGACCAAAGGGGTATACTCGCTTCTTAATCTAACCGCACTATATTAGACTAAGTGCGAAGTAGCTTCCGCCTTTCTAGAAGCTAGTTCTCGACTATATAAAGGTGGCCGATATAAGCCTCGTAAGTGTTAGGCTTATTAGGGTATTTAATAGCTTCGGTGCGAATAATATCTAGGACCTTAGCCTAGAGATACTCCTTACGATACTTATCTTTATAAGGGTATTATAGCTACCGGTAAATAGTGTCTAGCTTAGTTACGAACGTACGTATAGACTAATTATGCCTCTAGGTCCGTCGTATATACGTAAGGGTAGCTTCGCGGTATATATTCTTAGGGTTATTAATAAGCCGTAAGTAGAATTCGGTGAAATCCTACTAGGTAGGTCGTTCTAAGAAGGACTATAGGTGCGCTCGCTATTAGTTATAGCGATCGTCTAATAGATAGGTGGCTATAGTAGTCACCTTATTAGGTGCGAAGGCGTACCACTAGGGGTGTTGTTCGAAGTGACTCTTAAGTCGATTCACGAATATATAGTATTCTTAGGTATTTAACCCTACGAATAGTTTGATCTTTATATCCGCCCGAGGTGGTTAAAGGCGTAGGGCCTAAATAGTCCCTAGGGGCGTGTCGGTCACTTCGGTCGCTTAGGTGCGAGGGTTAGTTAACGTATCTAAGCGAGATTCGAGTTTACGTCGGGCTAGTGCCTCTTCTACCTACGCAATCCGGTCTTTAAGCTTATTAAGGGAGGGCTCGGACGGGGGCGTAGGGGTAGGTTGAGGTTAGGTCGTAGTATCGGTAGTTTGTTGCTACGAACGCGACTAGGTTTAGTAGGGGCTCGACATAATAGTGAAAAAGGGGTTGATAGCTCTACCGGGCGTACTCGCTAGGTGGAGTAATTAGAATTACTAGGACCCTACGAGGTCCTAGTGTAGCAGTATAAGTACGGGAAGTAGAGACTATCGTCGAAGTGTATGTGTAGGTGTCACAAGAGACTAATTGCTGGTCCTTTATGCGAAGGCTAGCGAGTGCAATAAATATAGTGCGCTTAGCTAAGAGACTAGGCGAAATGCACGACCATCATGGTCTATGCATGCGCCTATCTATCTGCACACTACGCAGCCCAAAGGCTCACAGTATACTTTCAGGCACCCTCAGGCACCTGTCAGGTCGAGGTCCTGACACCGAGCCGGATGACCGGGTGTCGCAGCACTAAGCTATTTATAGGTCCAAAACGGGTGCCGACGCGCTTGTAAATAGAGGTATATAGTAGCTCGAGAGTCTAGCTTCCAAGGACGGCCGGTTTTTTTCACGATTCTCTAGCCTTTCGCCTACTAAATAGCGTTTTAGCGTATTGTAGATTGTCTTACGAGAATAGCCGAAATCATTAGCTAATTTCACCTATAAGACACCACACTCGTGAGCAGATACAATAGCTGATTCTTGTATAGCAGTAAGTTGCGCTGTTTTGCTATTTTTTGCGCCTATTCTCATTGCAATTAGAGCAATAGGGGAGGTGTAGGAAGAAAAATAAAATGGTGGGTTGGTTGCCGGGTCAAATTGTAGTGGGGCAGTGGGTAAGAACATATGACCTGTATCTGTAGATAACTTTCACTAACCAACTAGATGTCTACATATAAAGTACGTGGAAGCCCAGCTTCATACTACCTGGTTTCCATCGTTGTCCAATTGGTAGGTCATCTCGACAATGTCCGTCAGTGGCCAAGACGGTCGTGACCCCACAGAACTCCACAATAAATACAACTATCATGCACATGCTACAAGAATTATTGTTCTAACGACCGCCATCACCAGTAAGTGGTCAAGCCCGGGCAATCTCAATCAGGTGAGTTTGACTCCTGTGTTTCGACCACTGTGAGAGTTAACGAGTCAATATAGTCTAGTTCCTTACATTTAGATTCTCGCTTGGGCTCACTTGAGCCTTCGTTCTTCGATAGAGAACTAATCGGAATATTGCTAGGAAACAACCATGGCTCGCACAAATCTGCGAATGGTCTTCACCATCAGAGGCTAGAGTAGGGGTCGGTAAACAGTGAAAAGTCCTCTATTGAGGGCTGAGTCTTGCGTTTTTGCCACTGAAATCTGCACTTCGGCCGGAATAGCATGTCCGACATTGCTTAACCTCGAACTGATGCGACCGGGAGTGCAAGTGACTCGCACGCTGCAGTATTGAAAACTAAGCGAGCCTGTGGCCGTTCTATAAGAGCACTCAGTAAGAGGGAACTAGAGAGCTAGGCTTGTTTTGAACCAACTTCGAAGATAATACACCCCATAATGATTTATCAGGCCGGCATCGTTGTTCCCAATTTCTGAACCCAAATGGTCCATTTGATAGCTAAGTTTAGGAACTGCAGAGCAGGTCTCACAATATTCAAGCAGCAGCGTCATCAAATCTGCCTCGTCAATTTCAGAACTAGTGAGGTGTAAACCTCATTATCCTTCGGGAGTTTCACCACCCTTTCGGATCAATTCCTCATATGCCTTCGTCTTTCTCGTGTTGATTCCTACAGGGTTATTCTGGGCACTAGAGTAAACCAGTATTATTAACCATACCACATCATCGTAGCCTTTCCCTTGATTTCACCACTCACCCTCTAAGCCCAGAAGCAACTTTGGTCGAGGCTTTGTTTTGATCATCTCCAGCGTTGTATAGCTCTTTGTGGGGATGGCCACCGACAGCATCTTGACCAAGGACAGCTTTAGGACGTCCCTCCCCCTCACCTGAGACGTTCGAGTTGTTCAACGATCTGTAAGTGGAAACTCCGATATTAGCGTTTCCTATCCATAACCAGCTTTATGCTAGGTAGCCCACTCACGTCTTATGACTGCTCATAGAACCAAAGATGTCTTTGGAGTTGGGAATGCTGGGAATCAGATGGCGAATGTTGTTCGGCAGTTGAGTCAAATGATAATCATGTTATACTATTGAACACGCGAATATGGAAATCGTACTTACCGGAATGAATTGTCATGATACATTGTGACATAGGAGACATTTCGTCATGGTGCCGTCATTTGTGTAGCGTAAGCCGCCACGTGGGACGGAATCAATTTATTTATTTTTTCAAGCTCCCACGGTCTTGGAGTCATATGCAACCGGCCTCTAGGCATGCCGGCTATTGGGGTGGTCGTATTTAGATCATCCCTCTCTGCTTGATATAATTTTTAATGGTCAGACACTGGGAGGTGTATTAGATTGAACAGTCTCTAGACATTAGTTGCTAAGAATGACTCACATCCTATTGGTGGCGAAAAATCGTAGAAATGAGCATGTCCAGGCTTGGAAAGCGCACTTGCAATCGTATTGATTACCCGGGTGTTAAAGACCTCGTCAGCATGGCTAGCCGACTTACAGGTATTTAATCACAACATTTGGCACAGATAATCCAAGGTCTTATAGATCCTTAAGTATACAACCCACTTCCTTCCCATCTGACAATGCAGAACCTTCGCCAACTGAGACCTACCCCGGGCGCACAAACAGGACCCTTGATCAGTCTCCTCCGCCATCCACATGACTTGGTATTTTCTGGGAAGCAGACCGAGTTATACCAAACCAGGTCCGAGGGTCTTAGCGACACAGACAAAAGGCCCTACAAATAATGCAACAGAAGCACCAAATGCCGATCTAAGCAGGGACGATTCAAAGGCCCAGGAGGATAAGATATATGTCTCTTCTCGTCTGGAATATGTGCAGTCGCATTGGAGTCCACATTACTGACGAGGATCTACAATCAAACATATAGAATCGCTCAGGTCCTCTCCTGCCGCAGCTGGAATAACAAAAGGGCATGAGAAATACTATAGTCTCAAAGCGCACCGTTAAGGACCAAATACCGAGAGTGGAGCATTTAACCCCTATGTTGAATCGAAACAAGTGAAAGATCATAACAGTGCCACGGCTAACCGCTACGAAAAGCGTTGACTACCTCAAATTTACCTCCAGCACTTCGTCATTTAACGTCTGTTACAGTTTTGTTAAAATCTAACTGTATCTTATTTACCTTGACCCCTCACAACAAGCGATATGCAGATTGCCTCGACTAAGCATATCTGTGGTTGGTGCTAGCTTGATGTGACCAACGGTAGATATCAGTCTGATGTGATTGGGGCCGCCTATCAGTGGATGTGAGGAAAAACCCGGGTCATTCTCATTTGCCGGATAATTTTACCGTGATTCGGCTGTCTGTCTTGTACCCCACACTTACACCCGCCAGACTCTTTGTTAGCGCTTGTGTGAGAAGGCAACTTGCGATGGATATCTCCATTGAAGACACACACCTAATAAAATCATAAATATGGCTGGCGAGGAATTTCCTTTATGGGAAACGGTTCCTCCACGGGGATCGCTACCTATCGAACAATATTTGATTGTATGATACACAATTTCTCCATTACACTAACCGTTTGTTAATACGGTAGTCTCTTAATACACCTACACATACATTTGCCGATAACTCTACTTCCCGTGCTCATACTGCTACACTAGGACCTCGCAGGGCCCTAACATTAATTCGGTCCAATTGTCATCTATACAGAACACCCATCAAGACTTTGTAATGCTTTCACGGCCAGTATAAACATCGATTCGCGCTCTCTTTTGTCACCGAGAGCAACCTCTTTTCGTAAGTTCAAAGTTTGCTAGATAAGCTGATGCTACCCGCAACCAGTCAGGAGTATCCCCGGCAGTGATAGACGCAACGGAAGACAAGGTATCAAAGGTGTACGAAGACGAACAAGGCACGGTTCTAATAAGAATACGAAAGAGATAGGATTGGACGGATCCTGACTGTCAGGACAATTTTACCTATTCTCTTTTCTAACAGGGATATAGCATCCCAAGCCACCGAACTACCAATCAAAATCTCCACTGCTTCATCCAGTTCTCCATCAGGGGAGCATCGATCGCCTTTAATTGTCTCAATGTCTTGCTTGCCTCCTGGGTCTTCACCGTCTCGGTCCATGGACCAGGCTTCTCTGCCATTGCAATCGCTTTGAAGAAGTCGAGGATCTTTAGCGCAGGCTTGTCTTTCAGGTCATCCTCTGTGGCGTTGACGACAGACTCCAGAGTTTTGATCCACTGCTGTAGACTGACCGGCTCAACATCGAAATGATTAGTAATGGCTGGAACGAGAGACTGCCAGTTGGCAGCCCTTGGATTTACGAGGTGGAAGGCCGCACAAGGCTCATCTTCTTGTGTGATACGCCGAGTGCGGACAATATCGGTGATGACTTTTGCAGTTATATCCTGGCAAACTTAGCTACTAGAAAGGGAAGGATAGTTAAAAAGGAGCTTACCACTGGAAGCCACTGCACTGACACAGATCCCAAAGAAGTTGGGATCTGCTTGATCGTCTTGGATGTTGCAACCAACGATGGTACCCATTCCTGTTTATTCCACATCCCCTTCTCTGTGGTTGGGCCTCCAATCTGGCCCACACGATGGATACTAGTTGGGACACCGCATCTCGCGGATGCACCTGCGCAGATCCTTTCAGAGACATGTTTTGACTCACCGTATCCTTGGCGGAGGGCGACACTAGGATCATTAAAAATTATCTCTGGGATCGAGGGACCCTTTCCAGGATTGTATCCTTCAATGGTAGAGATGGATGAAATGAAATGAATATGGGCTGTCCTTTCACTCGCAATGCTGAAATCAACCAGTCGACGAACACCTTCAATGTGAGGTTTCTCAAATGACTCTACTCGATGATTGAAGTTCACTTTCCAAGCATTATGAATTATAGTATCAACTTCATGCAGAAGCACCTCGTACTTTGCTTCATCGAGGCCCAGTCGTTCTTTGCCAAATTGCGCCTGAAGAAACTCCAGGCGACGTGGGAAGTGGTCGAATGTTGCGAGACCCTTTTCATGTAAGCTCTGCAGCTGTCTCGAGGCGGCGTCTATCGATCGGTTGAGGCAGTAAATTTTGGACACGCTGTGATCGCGTAGGAGCTCGTACAACAGATAGGTCCCCAGTGAGCCGGTTGAACCTGTCAAAATCACCGTGTGGCTTTCCCCCAGATCGTCGGAGTACTTCGAGACAAGTTCAGCCAATCGGGCTTCCCTGTCACTGTCGCTTTCAGACATTGAAGCGGCAGACGGCGAGTCCTGCCCTTTGAGAAGATTCAAAACATATCCAGAGAGATGAGAAATTGTCGGGTGGGAGTACAGCTGCTGGCTGTTGAATGCCGCGGCCCCGATATCCGGCCGCGCAGATCGTAGGGCCCCCTGCAGAATCTGTCCCAGTCGCAGCGTTTGGAGAGAATCAAGACCCAAGGCAAAGATGTCCGCATTTTCATCAATTGAGGAGACAGTCAATATATCGACCAGAACCTTGGTGATATAGGCTTTAATGTGTGAAACTGAATCCTCCTTGCCAATTTGTGCAATGTCGCCCTGAGCGTGGCTTGCATATAGAGCTTCAATTTCATCCGCATAGTCGGTCAATACTGAACGCCGCTGAATACTGCCTTTGGGGGTAAGCTTGAACCGCTTGGAGGCACAGGTTATGCCGATGCGATCCTTCATGATACGAGCGTGACCCGGGGCAGAGTCATTCGCCGTCTTGATCACAGGCCAAATCTCCTCGACGAGGGAATCCCGCTGGCCATTCCAAGTATCCCATTGAGGCTCTATGAGAGCGCTAGACTGGAATCGTCCCTGGCCCAATATAACAGCGCGTGCAACAAGTGGGTGTGACGAAATGATTTCCTCCATGGAAGTAGGGTTGAATTTCTCGCCGTTGCTGAGGACAATCACATCATCCAATCTGCCATGATACAGCCAGACCCCGCTCTTCTCGGGATGCTGGGCAAATATATCTCCCGTAGAATATTCCTGCTTATGTGGATAAGTGTGGAAGACAGGATGTGCGTCTCTAGTCCGTCCACGAGGGACGACAAGTTCGTAAAGGCTGTCACCGATATCACGCATTTCGAGTCCATGACTTGGGTTCCACTCCAGGTACCTCCAGTCGTTGTTGTCTTGATGTTTCAGCGTCCCGAATAGGCCACATTCACTTGATCCTAGAACAGATTGTAGGTGGGTTATCTCAGCAATGCGATCGCCGACTTGGGGGGCCAAGGGCGCTCCTCCGAAGGCAACCATGCGGAATTTCTGTAAACATTGCATTCCGAGGTCGGAAGAGCTGAGTTCCTCCAGAATAGAAGGTGGAAGAATCGCTGTCTCGGGTTTCTTCTCCGCAATGATTTGAGACAGCAGATCGGCTGTCAGAGGCTTATCGGGGCTCAGAAGGAAGGGCGTCCTGAAGAATATCGGCGTCACCATGTTGAGAAGACCCATGAAGTGGAAGAAGGGGCTCATGGTAAAGAAAAGCTTTCCCTGTTCAGCGACGGCTACCAGACTGCTCTCCCTATTGGTTGGAAGGGGAAGATTCCCAGTCTGCATTTGTTTAGCGAAAGAAAATCAGTGAAGGGGAGATGCTATTCTCACCTTTTTGAGCGCTTGAAAATACCCATTTGTCATCGGAACTGGCTTGGGCAGACCTATATTGTAACAGTCAAAATGTTAGAGACACGGGGGCCAGGTAGGAGTCATTTCGCATTGGAAGGCCTACCAGTTGTCCCAGAGCTATGGATGTAAACCACCACTCTATCTTCCGTGTCACTGACTGGGTCATTCGTCGGCGTAGTGATAGTTGGTGGGCTCCCCCTAAAAATCTCCCAAAGACCGGGCACCTCCCATACCCGCAAGGACGGCTCCGCCTCTCTCAATTCATTAACTTGACGGCAACGCTCAGGACTAAACAGGATTTTGACGCAGTCCGTAGCCCCCAACACATGGAGCGATGCCTGTTCCGAATTCCTGGGAGAAAGCAGGAGCGCCTTTGAACTTAATTAGATATCAATCCCTCGGGAATGTAGATTGCGGAGACCCACTGTGTGTTGCAGTCTCATACAGGCGAAGACGAATGCAGCATATCTGATATCATTGGCACCGAGATAAGCCAAGGTTGACGGCTCATTCGAAGATGCAACATTGCCCCCGATCCAGAGAACCATCTGCTGGATAGCATCCGCTAGGTCAACAAATTTTACATCTCTCCAGCCGTCAGAGATGTTAGATGAGAATGGTTGAACGCAGTAGAGCCTTTCGGGTTCTTCTGCGATGATGGTATCAAGGTTCTGCAGTACCGTGCGCTGAGCAAGACCGATCGATCCCATTTTGATAAGTCTTATTCTGAAACAGGATCCTAACAATTTGGGGTTATTAGAAGTAGAAAACTGGGTGTGTCGGGTTTCTTTTCAATCCGTCAAGGCCCTTGAGCATGGCACGGGCGCGTGATATAGATGTATCTGAATCTTCCTGCAGCATGCAATAGTATAGTGGAGCCGCAGCTACTTCGGCTGCATATTTGAGGGGTGTGGATAACCGACGGGGCGGGCGTTCGACCACAACCTACATAATGCATGTAGGATTAGAAAGCTTTCGAGAAAGGGACTTGGAAGCAAATGATTATGAGATCTGACCATATCTGACCCGGAAGACCTTGTGTCATGATATTATAATTAGGTCTGATAATTCTCCAGGACATTATATATTTCACATGATGATTTTAGAAAGTATTGGTCTTTCATCGAATAAGGAAAGATAAATGAATAGGGATCTCCCCAGCACCTAACACTAATCGCTAGTACCCTGTACCAAAATTCAAATCAATTAGCGGTGTGTGTTTGCAGCTCATTCACTCGGCGAAACTAGGTTCAGCCAGCCCTTATTTTTTGGTTCTTATCCTGCTCAGGAAATGATCTGATCATTCAGCTTGATCAACCAAACCGTGTGGCGTGGGTCGAGGTACGCGGAAAAAGCAAAATAAATGACACATCAGAAACCAACTCTGGCTTAGACGATCCACGACCCTCTGGATTCACTAGTCGGCGCTGGATAGGGAAATCGTCCCAAGGGCGTGGTTCGTTTGATGTGGTTGTAATAGCCAGTAGGGTGCACACAAACTGTGGTCATGCATCCGATTCTAAATGGAAACAAGATCGCATCTCAAGATTCGGTAGCTGCATATATCCTATGTACGAGCAACGGCTTCTATTGGCTGCCCCCTCTTTTTCTTCCAATGTCATAGGCGTCAACTTAGCGTTAATATGGAGTTTTGTAGCGTTTTTGACCCGTTAGGTCTCAACTCCCACCCTACTTCCTACCCCCTGTGTCTATGTCACCATACTCAATGCAAGAGTCAATTTATGCGGTTTACGGATCCTATTGCCGGGGCTTGGGTCTTGAATATTGTCTCGAGTCACACGGAGCCATTTACCTGCTCACATCCGGCTCGTCCGACCGCCAACATCATTCATAACTTCACGACTACACTATAGGAAGCTCCAATATCGGGTTAAGTGGATCGGATATGACGAAGATTTGGCTTACTATCTTGCTAGCAATTTTAGGAATGCTCCGTAGAAGCTGATCTATTTCTATGATACCTGCCCTCACCGACCTAGACCTCCGATGCGTCTCTCTTATTAGATAAAAGCTGCACTAGAAGACAAATATCTCGATGATCATAGAGTTGACGATATAGCTGCTGCCGTCTAGGGACTAGACAAAATCTTATAGGGGGGTTATGTAACGCATGATAGTCGGACCACTTGAAGAAGTTTGCCAGATGGCTGGATGGGAAGGCAGTGAGTGCAGGATCCGAGATGATTGGACGAAGGAGGTGCAGATAGACTGGCTTCCTAGCGTCCCTCCTGTTCTCTTTCTCTTATTCTCTCGAGCTTAGGTGGCACCAAATAACTGTATGTTGGTTCACCTAACGGATATTATTGTTGCCTTAGCATTGAGTACAAGAGATGCAATTGCCGGACTGAATTTGACCACGGCGAAAGTAAAAGCAACCATCAGGCAAAACAGAATAGCATACAGAGAAGGTTTTTTTCGAGAGGAACAATCTTTGGGATTTGTAGATGTATCTCTCAAAAGGCAAATACTCCAAACCATATCCGCTGCAGTTGATGTGCCAGGAAACGTAGCCATGCCTGTAGCTCGTCCAGAGCTTAGCAAATGATTGTATGTTTTAATAGATCTGGCTCCTTTCGTCTTCTGTGCTGTCACTGATATTATTGGCCCCAGCTGGGCGCCTCCAGATATCCGTACGAATACACGTTGTGAAAGCCTGATCTAGCGCAAGGGTTGTCTTCTGTACTTCTTCAATCGTCTCACAACGCGTATCACGGAAAGTCCAAAGCTTCTCATGCTGAGATCTGAACTTGTTCAACCTCCCCACCTGCCGGCGCACTTGAGCCTTCATGCGTAGATAGTTCCATGTCTTTCCAGCGAGAACCTCCTTCGGGCAAGATAGCAAATCGTTCATGTAGCTTATGAACTTGCAGATGAGATGTATGACTGTAATCCAAAAGCGCAAGGGAACTTCTTCATTCGAGAAACTTTGAAGATTGGGATAAGAAACAACAATGACCCAGCATTTGCGGAGCGGAAATAGGCTAGAAACGATTCGACCGGACACTCTTCCGAACACGGATGCGACTGCCCATGATTGCCGATCTGAACCGGTAGCTCATTCTCCAGACGGGTTTCTTGGGCGCAGGCGTCTATAAAAGCGCTGTAGCTGTTCGCAGCCTGGCTGCCAACCAATGGGTCCTGCGACCCAAAGTATTCAGCACACATTGTACGCCCTTGGGTGAGGACCGTACACCAGCGATTCTCCTCAGGTAGGTTTTGCCAATGATTGAAAGTGAAGGAAGACAGACTCTTGCGGTCATCCAGTTGCAGAATGGCATTGTCATCGGAGGCCACAAAGAGATTGGTTACAATAGCCATGACAAGGAAACACACCGCACATTGGGCGGAGCCGTCCAGAATAGTTTCCAGCACTTTACTTTTGTTAGGAAACAAAAGCACTAGATGTTTCTCAGACCAAGAATAAAGATCCTGCCTAAATATCTTGTCAAGTAGTCTATTCTAGTGCTGGTATTACATATCTTCGAGCAAGAAATAAGATCTTGCGGAGACACTGCGTGACATTCCTATTATCTTTTTGGGCCAAGCTCTTGTCGTCATAGAAATTGAGACAATCAAATTCTGATGTTTGAGGTGAATAAATTGCTCACCGGGAGAAAGATGAGGTAGATTTTCAACTTCTAGTAACTTTATGCTTGAAGAACATCATGCACATACAAACACACACACATATATATAATGATTGCATGGTTATTTCATACGGGGTTTTATTTTGACCTATGACGTTATGGCACATACGCTGTGAGGTGACGTATCTAGCGAGGGGTTGCGTGATTTAGATTTTGTGGCTGGCTGATCTCTGACTGTAAGTGTTGGGTCGCACTCGCGCAGGCTACGCGTCGACAAATTACTCAATTAGTGAACGACTGCGTTTCAGCTGAACTAGTTCACCGCACATTAGAGCTGAGAGCTGCTGATCCATGATAGGGAGATGCGGTTAACAACAATTCTCCATTTGCCAAACATGATTGGTTTCGGGAAAACCAGTCTAGACTCCTAGAGCTTAGAGTATCCGTGAGAACTGATGTGGGCGTGAGTCTCGACAAAATAGCAGCGACAAAGCTTCCAACAGTGGGCCATTTCGGACGGGTGTTCGGTGCAACGAACCTCGAACTTTGGACCCAATAGTGCTTCCGCCAATGAAAAAAGAGACGCGGATTGGGGGCCCCATCTGGACATGGAAAAGAACATCCTCGGTCATAGACGGGACGGTGAAAAGCCGGAAAGCCTGTCGTTGTTGTGCCACCCATATATATTGTTAGTGCGTTTTGCGTTGGATTATACAGGAGGCTCGAGTCCCCAGGCAGGAAATATTTCATAAAGGAAGGCAAGGTCATGGGATCGGCAGTTTCTATTGAGCAAGCTGCATTGTTCATGTTAGCAATGTCCTCACCGACAAACCAGGAAGTGGAACATACATATCACTTCCGAGCTGACATAACCAACGAATTTAGGAGCGTTTGGTGGTGGCTGAGGCGCAACATTGAGAATCCTTCTATTTCTATCTGTGGGCATACAAGGATGCCAGGCATGGTAGTGCTTCATATCGTTTGGTTTCTTTATTCTTTCTTCTTTCTTTCTTCTTCCTTCTTTTTTTTAGAAATTTGACGAATGTCGAATCCTGACTTTGGGGTAAAATGGTCTGAAAAAAAAAGTGAGATGATAGTCTACTCTACGTAGGTACTAAACGATATCATTACTACTTCGTATCTAGCTCTACTAGGTATAAAGTGTTATAAAGAGGATAAGTCCCGTAATTCTACGCTTATTAAGATATCTTCCAAATATATAATAGAATATTTCTATAGTCTATTTCTTATTATAAGAGAAGAAACGATAAAGGTAGTATAAGACTTAACGTATAAATATCCTATCGTAACGTTAGCCGGTAAGGCTCTTTTAGGGCCTCTAGTTTTAGGACTATACGGAAAGGACAAGAAGATATATATAGAATGAAAGTGAGAGAAGGTGTAAAGAAAGGGGGTTCAGTGTTTGCAGGATAGAGCCTGTCAACTAGGTAAGACGACGATGCCAGGAAAGCAAGTAGTATATTGGAGGAATGCAGAGACTGATTCTTGGAGAACCTATGGGTTCTCCAGACTGGACTATTTAATATAGGGGATGAGCGTTGCGGTGAGCCAACGCTGACGTGTCGACACGTATATTGTGTCGATCCTCTGTGAGTGCGAGAGATCTGTGTATGGCTCCTGAGGACTCCGTTACACCCCCAGTCTGCCAGACTAGGCCACCCCCCGTGGGATAGGCTTTGGGCTTTGTGGGCTCTGCGGAAGTCTATTCAGTAGTACCACACGAATAAAAACAAGTTATCCCCTTATTCACTACTTTTGATTCCAATAGATTTGGTGGGGTCCACATTCTCCTTGTGGGAGGCTTCTCCTTTGTCTACTAAGTCGGTTAAACCCGCAGGAAGACCCTCGGCGTTGTAGGTTTTTTGCATTTCAGTCTTCTCTCGTCGCATGTCCTTTGATTTTTTGACACCGAAGCCATCGTTGAAGAGGGTGAAGGCTTCGTCGACCGATAGGCCCTCTAGAAAAGGCAAATTAGCAACGCACCATGGCTCGACCAAGGGTCATTGCTTACTAGTTTCAGGATAGCAGAGGTAGGCAAGCACAAGGCCGATAATGATAAAGAAGAGGTATAGACCGTATGTCCCGCTGGGAGTCAGCTATTCGAGTCTATAATTGGATCAGCTAAATTACCCAACGCTGAAACGGGAGAGAGACGGACTCGCTGAGGAAGGACACGGCGACCACCAAATTTGCTGTAAAGCTTGCGGTTGTGCTGATAGCACTGCCCGCCGCACGAATCTCGAGAGCGAGGTACTCGGACTGGTACCAACAAAGGTGTGCGTAGGTGGAGCCAAAGCCGGCGACAAAGATGACAATTCCGGCGATGACCAGGCCGACGTCCTTCTGGGGATAGGGGTAGCCATCAACGAGGACGTGTCCTGTGGGCTTGCACATGAAGTAGAAAGCGACGAGACACCATGTGAGACCGATGGCCATGATGGGACCGAATCTCATCAGCAGCCCACGGCGACCGATCCGATCCACCATGACCATGCCGCAAAGAAGGAAGAAAGTGTTGGTGATCGAAGGGATCAAACCGCCAACAGACGGATTGGAAAGGCCTAGTAGCCCGAACAGCGTGCCAGCGTAGTAGAGAAGGGTGTTGTATCCGGTGAATTGACCAAAAACCTGGATAAGGCTGACGGCGAAAATTGAACGGCGGTACGGCTTGTGCGTCCACAGCTTCTTGGAGCGTTGCCAGAAGGTGGTCGAGCGTTGCAGAGCTGTGGTGGCGGTAATGTGATCCTTGACGATGCGCAACTTAAGCTCGATGATTTCGGGTGAGGCGAACTTGTAGATTTTCTTAAGTACTTCTCGAGCCTTGTCGTCCTGGCCACGAAGGATAAGAACGCGGGGCGACTCCGGTAACTTATGCATGAGGGCGAGCTGCAGAAGCGAGGGCAGAATGCCAAGTCCGAAGAGGATCCGCCAGTTGCCCTTGACGTGCTGCATGCCGGCACCAATGGCGACAGCGACTGTCTGGCCGAACGGAATGCAGAAGCCATTTATCCCGACACACCGCCCACGAACGGCAGTGGGAGCCAGCTCAGTTATGTAAAGTGGGCATATAACAGCCGCCCCACCCACTCCGACGCCAAGGATAAGACGACCAGCGACGAGCTGGCCGAGAGAGAAGCTCGATGCGATGACAATAGCACCGGCAGTAAAGTACAAGTCCGATACCAGTAAGCAGAACTTTCGACCCCATCTGTCGGCAAACATGCCCAAGATGGCTGCTCCGAAGATGGAGCCGATTGTGGTGGCCGCTGTGGCAATCTCCTGTTGAGGGTAGGACAGTGTATGACCACCAAAATCGGTCCCAATATAAGGAAGTGCAACGCCAACAACGCCGGTGTCGTAACCGTATAGGAATCCACCAAGGGCGGCCTGGAATTTGTCAGTCGATTCGCAAAGGCTTGTACGCGTCGTATCTGACCGAAGTTATCAAGAAAAACAGGTAAGGGGTCATTTTGTCCTCATTTTCAGCTTTAATAACGTGCTCATCCTGGAACCCTGATTAGTACCATTCCGCGCCGAGATAGGGCCGAGGACTTACGACTAAGTGACTTTGTTCGACTTGGGGAATCCAATTTTGAGATACAACAGAGTGTTCCCGTGGTTGCTGATCCGCCGGAATGGTATCGACGTGGGATACCATGTTGTAGAAGCCCAACTGATTGTTTCGAGCAAATATGGAGGGGAAGATAATGAGGACGAAAAGCATCACTCTTATATATGAGGTGCTGGGATTCTCTGGGCCTTAGGAGTCATGTAAATCGTTGGATCGTATGGGGAGATGTTCTGTCACGGAAAATGGGTGCCGGTAGTGTTGTCGAGGCCCAGCACGAGTAAATCTGGCCCTACAAGTTTATTGGTTGACACGGTATGATCTTATAACCTTAACTTACGAACTTTGATGGATTTGGCACCATTTAAAATAGTTTAAAATAGTGTTTTTAGAGGGGGCGAGCTGTCATACTCCGCAATGTGCAACGGTTTTCAAGGCTCCAAACTCGGACATTGATGTGGTTTTGTGGCGGTTCCTCAACGTGTTCTGTGCCACTTCAGACGGTCCAGCAACTTGAACGGAACAAAATTTCCCCCCGAAAATGAGCAGCCCCAGCAGCTTGCGAAAAGAAAGCAAGAAGGGAGGTGGGGGGAACAAGTGGTGGTGGACCGGAGGCAAAGGTCAGACAGAATCCGGGGTTTGCTCACAGTCCATGGTCTATTGGCCCGCGACTCAAGAACGAGAGTTTGACTTTGTGTGTCATCATACAGAAATCCTCAAAAATTGACATCCGGTAATAAATGGTAATTTATGAAAGGCCGGTCAGGGATTGGCCGTGGCTGGTAGTCGCGTAAGTTCCTTGACGCCACACCAATCGGCCATAAAACCGGGTCGTCCCAGCTGAGTTCAGCCTTTCGGTGGATGGCCTCCGGGGCGGTGGTGCGGAGGCGATGTGCTCCAGACATATAGCCGCATAGGATCCGTCCAGTTTATTTTGGGGGGAGTCATTACTAACTCCTTTGAGACGGGAGCGCGGAATCCTTGCTCTCCGACTGAACTTGGAGATTGTTCATACTTTTGCTCTCCTCTGCCAAGTACCATTCAAAACTAAACAGTGTCATTGGTGGTTCTGGATTGTGCTCCTCTTCAATGAATATCCATATATTGTGGTAACCCGGGGAACAACGCAGGGCCGCGGCGTGCCCAAACTGGATACACCATTTCGCCCTGTGCTCACAATGTTGCAGTTCAGAGGGAGAACAGAATGATATATATACAACACGAACGTCCAAGTTTATTTCAAATTAACTGGGTCTTCTCGTTGTACATACAGTCAACTCCCGCCACCTGCACGCCCTTCAATCCAAGTGAATTCCTCTGCAAACCGCGTAAGTGCGTACAACCTGAGGTGATGGAGTAATATCTAAATCCTGATTCCTCTTCGGTAGGTAGGATATTGATAACGCCTAAATATTGTTATTTCGTTTCTTCTACATACACTTTTGATGGCTAGGGCTACAGAAGTAAAAGCTGTATTCCTCTAGCTTTTAAGGATATATTCCGGATAAATCTTTATATTTAGTACTTTATTGGGTAAGATCGTTGTGGTCTGCAAGGAATATATATCGCAGCATTACACCTAGAATTTGGGGACATGTGAAATTGACGCCGAAAATGACCGCTTTCGAGGCTAGAAACGACCGCCTTTTCAACCGTAACTTCAGACAGCGAGCCGCTCTTGGTATATTGCACCCAGCTAGATAGATAGGGAAACCTCATCCTGTTGCCTGACCTAAAATTCGCTCATCAAACCTAAATAGCAACAATTACTTACCAGAGGGGTTAGGACCATAACAAAGGCGTGCGTGCAACGCGTGAATACTAGTTTGTTTATGAAGTTCTATGGCCTCGTTCGGCAAAATTCTCTTAATAAGAAGCATTGTTAATAAAGGAGTGAGCCGAGTTTTCTGGTGGGCGGTTAACTCGATTGTGTGTTCCTCTTTTAGCGTGGCTAGGATCCGGGATAAAACAGATAAAACTAGATAAACTAAGGTAGAGGTTGGCTACATCAGCTCGGGGCGGTCCAGGCTTAGCATGTAGGTACTGTACTTGTCTATCTGAGTAAGCTATTACGGGACCATGTTGACAATAAACGGGTCCCTGCCTAACTCGCTGTCCAGCCAATGGGTGATCAGGCACGAGGCTCGTCGATACGGACAGCCGATAAGACGCGAGACGAGACCACGGGCTAACGATCATTAATGTGTTACGACAATATGATCCTTAGCCACACAACCGTGTCGCCTTAGCCCATCTGCGGAGCCGACCAGTGGGTTTGCGATAAGCCTATTCTCGGCTTCTAGAGGACAAGATCGGTCTGCGAACGGGGCTAACCGACGGCCATGTAGGCCAGAAATTTTGGAGCGGCCAGATTCCCGGCCTAAGCAGTTAGGATTGTTCTAGAAAACTCGCCCACGGCTTCTGTAGTATTGTTGGGGGTTGGCAACCGGGATCGGTTAAAAAGTGCAAAGATGCCTAGTGAGCCTCAATCGCTCCTAGCCGCGTTATTCAAAGTGTTATAGTTGATATTCCTATGCTGCTATAGGCTTAATTGGGGAGGGGGCTCGATCGCTAGACGACATCCTTGTCTACGTTAGCCACTCTTAGTATGTCGAAACAGCTTCCGCTAAAAACCAAAAAGAGGTTAAGATTAGGAGTCAGAAAAGATGCGCTCATCTAGAAATTGCTTTCGAAAGAAGACTTCTCGATGTGTTACATATATTTACAGTAGCAATTCGGAATAGGAGGGAGAATTTCAGTCACAGGTTCATTAGGGTCGCGCCAGTGTAGACCGCATTCACGATATCCGCGGTTGCCCGCGCAGTCTTAGCTCTTTCTATCGCGCTCTCCCTATCTAATTCGTTTTCGATTATTAAGAACGCCTCCTTTTGCTATAGTGGTAACGGAGTCGAGTCAATCATTTCGATTCCCTATAGTCTCTCCAGGTACATTGCTTTTAGGGCTTCCGATAGCGGGGACCGGGCAAACAAACCAAGATTGTTCCGTCTTCTCTAGGCCTGATGTAAAGCGCTCTATATAGGACCTTTTTAGGGTAGAGTATAGAGTCTAGTGACAGTGTTTTATGCACGGTACGTAGGTGCCGTAGATTGGTCTTATCTTGATGTAGATCATACGAGACGATCGATGCATAGTCGAGGACCTATATGACGCACGCTTCGCAGAGCTGTCGCATTTACTCCGGATAAAGCTGTCGTATCTTCCGAAGCGCGATATTGACCTTGGTGGCTCGTTTGACAGCTTGTTATACGTATTCCTACCAAGGCCCATATCAAAGTCACCGTTTCCTAGATACTTGCAGGCCAGAGGTTTTATGAACATCTGAATGAAGAAAGTCAGAGTCATATTATTACTCTAAAAAAAGGGACGCTTGGGATTAAGACATCTTAGGCAAAGCATGGGCAAGATAATATATCAAGACCTATGATAAGGAGAGCAGAGATGGACGCAAGAAAAGGAACTTCATCTGAAATCTGAGGGAGCATAACTGAGACGCGACCGTGATCGTGAATTAGAGGTGTATGAAAAGCAATTATCGATGGGTACCTACGATACTGCCTGATGATTTGGATATTTTTCGCAAAATATCCAAAGCTGTCTGGAATCATAAACTTCGGTGCGACGAAGGCTTTTGTAATGCAGTATACGAACAAATGGAGACCAAAGGATATATGAGATTCACTAAGTCTTCTGATACTGAAGTATTATCTGTGCCCTTCTCTCCTCTCATGTCTGCTCCTATATACCATGTCTTGTGGGGTCTATGTAGCGGCGTAAATTTACAAGGATGATCTTGGCGGCATGGCTGAATAAACTATATTTATGGCCTCTCATATAACCGACAATAAAATAAAGAAAAAAATCCTAAATCCTCAAGATTACTTAGGGGACGGCTGAATTCTATCGGTTTTTCTGTAGCCGCTTAGTAATTAAGAATCAAAGATCAATAAAGGAAATTCAACTCTATCTTCTTATACCACTTGTAATAGGTTCAGGAAATTGAAAGGTTGATCTTATGGTGTTTGTATACTTTATCAAGAGTACTCACTAGAAATATATAAAATGGCACCAAAGATTATACCAAAGATGCCAAAGTTACAGGCAGCCCCCGCCTCTTGAGTTTTGAGTACATTTGACGAAAGATGTTCATCATATGAACTTCCGATCACTACATCTTCATTTCTTATTACTGCAGGGATTTAAAGGGTCAAATGAAGGTTCTTGCGGTAATGATGAAAACATATGTAAATGTGAACTAGAAAGAGTAGTGAGTCAGCCGCATGAAGGTCATATGACAGTCTATATCGAGGTAAGCTAGCGACAATTACGCTAGTGCGGATACTGACGAGATATCCGCAGATTTGACGTAGCCTAGCCTGACGGCTCGGTAGTGCGGGCGGCTCGGTGGTGATTACGCTGACTTACTTAAGAATTAAACGCGACCTTCATTATTTTAATTGCGATTGATTTCAGAGGCAACAGTCTAGAGTGACATTCAGTCTATCTAATGCCTGTTTTTAATCTCCTTCCCGTCAAAGAAGAGCTTTTCACCACTGATCAAGCTTCGCTGCAAAGCCTGTCCAATAGCAACTGCTTGGACTGAGCTCTGCAGACTGATCGGCGGTAGTGTGTTATCCAGGCAGCACGCGGTGAACTCGGAAGCCTCGGTGATAAAAGCCTCCCTAAAGCGCTCGTAATAATGTTGCGGGAGCTCACGTATGGCACCCCGTGAATCGTGAACTTCAACATGGTTCTTTCTCACCTGCATATTGACCCTTACTGAGCCTCTTTCGCAAATGACCTCCGTGGTATCTTCCTGCCCAGCCGCCATCATGCGCGAGCAATACAAAGCAGCAACCTTACCGCCCTCAAACTCAACAGTCGCGATCGCATTATCCCGGTCGTGGCTTGCTTCTAGCCCTGGATGAACCGCGGCTACACCCACCGCTTGTAGACTCTTAAGTTTGCGGTTCTCACCGAGGAACCAGAGCATAAGATCAATGTCGTGAATGGAGCAGTCAACGAAGATGCCGCCGCTTGTCTTAGCGTACTCGACGAAGAATCCTGATGAGTCGTGTAGATCTGCGGTCTGCGACCGGAACACTATAGGCGAGCCAAATTCTCCATTCTCGATCCTGGTGTGGGCCTCGCGGTAGGATGCGTCGAAACGACGGGAGAAACCGCACATCACCTTTTGGCTAGGGTGCTTTTGGAGGGAGTTCTCGTAGGCAGTCACAACGGATTGAGCCTATTCTCGCAGAAGAAAAAAAAAAGGTGAGTAAGGGACACACGATGGAAAATACTCGGAGAGACTGACCACTTCAACGTCAATGCTTAAAGGCTTCTCACAGAGAACATGGTATCCCTTCTTAATTGCCTTGAGAGCTTGCTCCGCATGTACAGCAGTGACACTGGCAACTACCACGGCTTCCAAGTCGGCCTTCTCGAGCATTTCATCGTAGTCGCTATAAATCTGCACTCCTGGAAGGTTCTCTGCTCCCCAAATGCGCTCGGCCTCGTCGGGGGTGCTCGCGGCCACCACATTTGCGCGGATAGTGAGCTCATGAAAGTTCGTCGCATGGCGCTTGCCTGTTTAGTGTTAGATGTACCTTCACTTTGCGGTTTCGTTTGAACACTTGCCCATTCGGCCAAGGCCTGCAATTCCAACCCGTAGTTTCTGCGAGGACATATTTGGATGGTGAAATGGATTCGAGGAGGAATTCAGAAATATAGGGAGGGTGTCAATGCCCACTTAAGTTCTTCGTAAAATTCCTGCCGGATTTCAATTTGCGACACCTGTTGAACTCGCTCGGGACATGAAACCCGATACCGAATAAGTTCAAAATATTCCAGTTTGGTAGTATCCTTCTCCACCTAGAGGCGCAAGTCAAAGACTGTCAGAACATGGTAGTGCTAACTTACTACTGGCAACTGATTGGTTGCAAGTAGTCACACATCTTTTGCTCTTCGATTTGAAATCGGCCAAATTTGCAAACCTGGTGTTGTAACCACCGAGTACCGGCGCATTCCACGCATTGACCCGAGGCTATTCCAACCTGCCCTCAATCGCATGCTATTCTCCTTAATCAATCTTTCCATCTTGAATTGGTTCCGCTTGATCTAATTTGCCCTGAATGTATTACTAGTCCATATCCATACACTTTTAGCTTGTTCCGACAAATACGCACGCTGCCATACGTCTGTAATTCCAGATCTCCAAGCAGGGCTAATGCAGAAATCCACGGCATTACTTCACCGAAGGCACACTGGACCGAGACGGTGCAATGGCCGATTGGTTGCACTGACGAACCTTCAAGGCCCAACAAGCTCCACATTGGCGGGGTATTCGTCTTCGCCCGCCCCACCTTATACAATATGGATGGTAGTCTGAAAACCCCCGAATTTCGAAACTTTTTGTTTTGTTTTATGTATTTTGAGCATGATCATAATCTACGAATATGGTCATTCCGAATCAATCAACAAGGGACGTGGCATTATGGCGTGTGTCTCTTGTCGGCAGAGCAAAGTGAAGGTAGTCTCTGAGGTAGTCTGAGGTCCGTTGGGGAGCTAACATTCGGTAGTGTAATGGCGGACTGCCAGCTTGCTCCAATTGCGTGAGTAGGAACAGGGAATGCCGGTATCAAACGTTTGACAAGAGAAAGCGAGTGAAATGGGCTCTGCATACGATTGTGATGGGTTCGAGACACAGTGACTAAGACGCGTTTTGCAAATAGGCTGCCTTTACGCGTCGCGATCGAGTTGCTGTCATGCAGAGCCGATCAATTGTGTTAGTTCATTCAGCAGATCGGACACCAACCTCCTCCTATGCCCGATGAGAAGGATGCTGCCGTAAGGGGAATTATTGAGATTCTGGGAATTTCAAAGCCAGGCATCCACTCCATGCCTAATGAGGGATAATTCAGGTAGTCTGTCATAAGTGACCAAAATTTAGGATCGATCGGAGCTGATTAGACCCCTGGATCCTGCCAGAGTCCGCGCCAGAGTCCAGGCGCCCCAGTGGGATAGGGGGTCGGGGTAAATGAAATCATCATCATCATCATCATTATCATCATCGACTCTATCTTGGTGGCTAGTCCTTTCAGGCTCAGTCCTGAAGAGCTGTGGTAGGGAGAGTGTGAAGTCTTCCTGAGATACTATGAGATTGAGTCGGAAGGAGAGATGGCACACTCGACGGTGGCGGGCAGCTTTTCGTCGAAGAGCTTTCTCCAGCTGAAGGAGCATACATAAGGTATACTAGTATTGAAGAAAGTTGTTTGTGTATGTCGCTGTCCAGTGTATGGGGTTTTCCAAGCTCATATTTTCAATGGTTATAAAATGACGATCGGAATTATGTACACATGATCGATTATGATTGTCAGTGTGCAGCCTTGGGTCTTGAGGAGTAGGTAATGCACGGAATGATTTGCTGCTGTGCGATTCTATGCTATTGATACAGATTCAAGCTCTTTTCGTAGAGTCTTCCATGATTCCATTCCCCTCATTGCAGCAGTCTCCGGTTGACTGCTCCTATCCCGCATGCCGCGGTCAAAGATCTCCATCGACACCCAGCCTTTAAAACCTGTCGCAAGGATCCAAGCCTCGGAAATCTCGGTAATAGGCAGATAGGCGCCGTGGTCATGCTCAAAAGGAAATGGTCGTGCATGTTTCGACCAAGTAAACTGCGGCGCCTCCCCTTCGACAAACCACTGGTGATCTTCGGAGAATGGAGGATCGAATCTTTCGCCATCAGATAGCTGGAGAAAGAATATCTTCTCAACGGGGCAATTGGCAACAAAGCGATTGAGTGATTCGCGAAGGGCTTTATCAGAGTCAGGGAAGCGACCCGACGCGGCGAAAAGGTCACCCCATAGCTTCGTAGCTTCATGAAAAGTGTCTAAACATAGACCGAAGTTTGGTCGATTGACATCATTGACATATTGCAAAGCGACTTCCCATGTAGAGCAGTGTGTTCCCCACGACAAATACTCATACGCAATTGATACGACCGGCTGCTCCGCGCTTCCGATATCAGCCAACTTCTTTAGCTCACTGATGACCACGTCTTTGTCGCCGATGGCGTCAGGTTTGTAATTTGACGGAACCTGCAAATATGGCGCGTGAAGGACCCTAGCGACCCCAATCCAATGCCTGGCCTTCTGTAATCTGTCACTGAGAGGCGATTGATCTCCTTCGTAATTCTCGAAAGGTGCCAAAGACAGAATGTCCAAGTTGACTTTTTGGCATAACACGCGGATCTTCTCAGCGCCTTCGAGAATCGAAATGTTTAGAGCTTGAGAAAATGTTTCCAACTCGAAATAGACAATCTCAATGCCTTTGTATCCAGCTTCTGCCGCAGCCTGAATTTTGTGGTCCAGGTGATGAGAAGGGTGTTGGCCCAGAGATAAGCTGGCGATAGCCAATTTATTCAAGAGCATGATATTGGTGTCTGGGCAGGGGTAATGACAAAGTTCGGCCGTCAAAATAAGAGAAGAAATCAAAGCAGGGCTTGGCTTTTGTTAAGCTACACGCAATATATATAATAGAGAATGACCGCAGGGTGAGTTCGGATTCCGTTCTCCGCGCGGTACATGAGACCGAGACTAGTAGGACTTTTGACTATGTGACTCTCAGAGTGAAGTCGTATGAGGCGCGAAGATTAGGATTCAGATTTTATTAAAGTCGTCTGACAGGGTACAGGTATCCTACGTATGATAATGCAAATTATGAAACAGATTCTTCCGCTTTTGCTCAGGCTGGAGGTTTCACATTAACGCCCGGAGTAGAGATTTCCTATAACAGTCATTCAGATGAGCTGCAGATATTCCAATCACGGGCCCTGGATTTCTTATTCGTTTGGCAGCAGAAACTATTGACGTCGTTATTCTCCGGACATGATTCTCCGCCTCCACCAGAGGTTTGAACAGAACTATGTTGCATTTTCCGAAAGCCTGAAATTACAATATCTTCTCAAAACCACTCAGAATGCTTTGAAATAGCTGCTGCTGGAAAGCGATTTCCGCATCCTGTTACAGTAGAATGATGGATCCTATAAATCCAGCGCAATGTTCGAGGCGAGCTCTGTCATTGCATCGTCACTCAACTCTGCAGTTTTGTTCCACATCTTGTACAGCCAAGTCTTCTCAAAATGGTATCCGCTGCCCTTCATCCAGCTTCGACAAATATCGAAACCACTTCGGACAACATCGACGCCGTCAATATCCTCAAGGCAAACGCAAAACAAGCAGCAAAGGGCCTGTACGATGAGTCCGAATTTGACAAAGCTAAGGACAAGACAAATTTCCGCCAGTTCAATGATGCTTGCGACCAGGTCAAGAACTTCTATGCTCAGCAGCACACCCTACAAACGGTGGCCTTCAACTTGAAGGCCCGTAATGACTTCCACAATAAGACCCGCGCACACATGACTGTTTGGGAAGCAATGGATAAATTGAACACATTCATTGACGAATGTGACCCCGACACCCAAGAATCCCAAGTGACACACCTGCTCCAGTCCGCCGAAGCTATCCGCAAAGAGGGCAAGCCCCGCTGGATGCAACTTGTTGGGTTGATCCATGACCTGGGCAAGCTCCTTTTCTTCTTCGGTGCTCAGGGCCAATGGGACGTTGTGGGAGACACCTTCCCCGTCGGGTGTGCGTTCGATGATAAAATCATCTTTGGGACTGAGTCTTTTAAGAAGAACGAGGATTTCGAGAATCAAATCTACAGAACCAAGTTCGGCATTTACTCGCCTGGCTGTGGACTAGAGAATGTCATGCTCTCTTGGGGACATGATGAATACCTTTATCATATCGTCAAAGATCAGTCGACCATTCCCGATGAGGGACTCGCTATGATTCGGTACCACTCGTTTTATCCATGGCATCGCGAGAACGCCTACCATGAGCTTATGAATGAGCATGACAAGAAGATGCTTGAAGCTGTGCGGGCTTTCAATCCCTATGATTTGTACTCTAAGAGTGATGAGGTGCCAAACGTTGAAGAGTTGAAGGTGAGGTTCATTCCTAAATAACGTCGCCCTTTGCAGCTGTATGCTAACGTGATTCTAGCCTTACTATCTTGAACTCATTGATGAGTATTTCCCAACAAAGGTTCTGAGATGGTGATAGTCCTCTTCATGGATTTGGTAGGTTTGGAGTGTCCATGTTTGTATGATATCGATGCAAAGTATTGAGGCCGCTCGGATAACCAACATAGAATCCCAATTTGTGCTTTTAGTTCGCTCGTTAGGCCCAATTCAATTTCTTGGCAGTGTACTATTCATTTTAATAGAAATAAGAGCTCAAATACAATACTCCTGGTATATCTGGCTCTCATATAGCATTTGAAAATTAAGTCAGGCAGGATACAGTAGCCGTGACTGCCCGATGTTCACGAGTCGTTTCTATAGTTTTCGGGTGAATACTCCTATGTTTGAGAAGAGCTACAGCGGATAGATTTGCTTCTGAGATCCCTTCATCTTAGACTCTATTTGACAAACTACTAGCACGGATATATCAACTTCTGGGACTACATGGAAACTCACAATACGCCTCAATTGACTATTCAGTAGACTGTTAGATGAGACGAAGTGATGATTTTTTACGATGGAGATTTGACTCACAAGTAGTCTCTACTCCTCTAAGCTTTTGCATGTCCGGCAGGGGCCGTCGGAAATTATGTTCCTGTGCCACTGCAATGTGGTCATCTTGGGATATTAAACATATTCTATTGGCCCATATAGCATCAGATAGCCTCTTATCCACTTCTGTGACGAATTTGCCCCAGCTATGGGGCCCAATAGGGGATAGCACCGAAATGCGGGGTCCTTATTGTTGAAGCACCTGTATTGATGGTATCACTCTGTCACCCTGTTCCGCGGAGATATCGCGTTGAATGGCGCTCGGTTCGGAGACCTAACACCGCCCTGATCGATGAGTAGCATTCAAGTTTCAATTTGTTGACCGTGCCAACAAAAGCTCGCCCGAGGGAAAGAGAGCTCGGAGATGCTACTGGGGATGTCTGAGATGACCTTGCAACACCCTGGGATTCATGGTAATGGACTGATTGGCTTTTCAAATACCCACATTATGAAGCTATTTGAGGTTCTACGCTACAACCTACGTACTATCTGTTCGTAGAATGGAAGATACGAAGGGACATAATTCTTGTTGTCTGACCCGCTATATTGGAAACCTATAGTAACAAGACTAAAACAAAGGCTACTCGTAGCTACGCCTATGAGCATTAGCCTCCTTCGCCTAACACGGTCGATTAAGAGAGCTGCAAATTTTGAGCCCTAGAATATTAGGGATATAGAGTCTATAGCGACAAGATCGGAGCTATGCGACTGCTCAGAAGAATGCAGTACTAGCTCCTAGAAGAATCCGGCGAAGTGTTTGCTGCTTACTATTCCAAGTGAAATTTTCTTTTAGGGCCACCCACTGTTGCACTCAGCCTTAGATAAACAATAGCAACTAGATATTGAGTCTCGCTAGTAACAAAAGGATCATCTTCTGGCTTTGGTAAGAGCCTAGCAATAATGTTTTGTGCCTCGCTAACGCGATTCTTTATAATAAGCTAGCGAGGCGACTCCGGTGTAACAAGAACCAAGGCAATGGTGATGGTGGCAAAGAAGCGCTAGGATGCCAGAGGGTAAGCGCTAGCTCACATCTGAGTGTGGAACAAAGGTGAAGCCGTAGTTCATCCACTACATACTGATGAGCGATCGGGTTTGGTCATCAAGGCTGATTAGTACTTACGTTCGTGATCACAATGCCAATATATTTGTGACCAGTTAAAAATGATGAGCTTCCGCCGATCCTTTGGCTGCGTAGTTTCTGTTTTCCAGACAGGTATAGCGATATTATTCATTCCGATTCCGATTCCAGCGACCACGTGACCGACAATCATCTGTGCGAGAGAATATGAAGCTGTTTGGAGGATTGCATCAATGATCCAAATCACGAAGCCGATCAGAATACATCTTCTGCGACCCAATTTGTCACCGGCATACAAGGACACGAGTGTTCCGATAAGAGTTTAATGTAAAGAGAAACTTCCCGGGAATCCATTCACCGAAAGTCATTGCCACGCTGCGGCGGCCGAGCCGGGATTATGACCGATTGGACCCGGCAGAATGGGTGAACTCTACAATCGCGGGGTAGTCTGCATACCCCGGATTTTTCGATCTCACGTACGTTATGCACCCGCTGCTTCCATCTTGACAGGTTACGACAAAATAATGAGCTCTATGAAACAGTCTGTTAAGCGACGACATGCCACCATGGCGTGCGCCTCGTGTCGAGAGAGCAAAGTAAAGGTATTCCCCGCCACAGCCTTTTACTCTTCGGTAAATTAAATCAAAGGATAACAGTGTGATGGCGAAGTACCCTGTTGCTCTCAATGCGCAAGCAAAAACAAAGAATGTCGCTATCAATCTTATGATAAGAGAAAGTGAGATACTTACACTAACCCTACGATCATGACGGGGCCATTTTGAGACTGAGATTTCACCATGATGAAGGTTACCTCTTCGCGTCGCAATAGAGCTGTTGACCTGCCGAGTCGATCAACTGTGTCAATATATTCATGAAAACGGCCTTCAGCCCCCGAAAATGCCTGATGATAAGGATGCTACACTGCAAAGAATTCTCGATACCCTTGGAATGACGGAGCAAGCTGGCAGGCAAATAACACCTCCGAATAATGCCACCATGAAGCCTCCAAGTATGGTCAAGAATGGTGAGTATTTCTTACCTGCTTCTACTATAGCTTCATTTGATATCTCTTCAGAGGGCTTCGGGGACAGGAACTTGGACCAACAACGTGCTACCAGTCTGCCCGTAACTGAGCAGGGTCACTGTTTACCAGATTCAAACATGTCGTCAATTCCACGACATATTAACTCTTCAATCGTTGCACTCGAAGGTGATCAGTCAGTCTTGACAGAAGACAGTCCAGGCAGTATACTCAACTCCTGGATTTTTGACCTGGACTTCGGTACGCACATTACACCCTCTGCATCCGACATGCAACAACAAAAACAACAACAACAACAACCCATCTTGGGATCCTCGCCGAATGATAAACTTGCTATGCCACCAACGGGCCAGGTAGGATCCGTTGAACCTGTTTATACCGAAAGTGGCTCTACCCTTTTCAAGGAACCGACCACCACATCCGATATTGAAGGCCTGGTTGATGAAATCTCCGACCGAGTTGGTACCTTAAAAATTGGCCCCGGAGGAAAGACACGCCTTTACGGCCCGACATCCACGTTCGGTTTGACGGAAATGCCATTCTTAGATAGTTATGAAGCCCATCGGCCAAGGCAGATCTATCATTCTGGGTCGGAGGAAGGAACTCCTACGGTTCTAGAAGATCATCTTCTCAATCTTTATTTCAGCTGGCAGGACCCGTCATTCCATGTCGTTGATCGAGATATCTATGAAGAAGCAAAAGAAAAGTGGGGCAACCTGGAAGAAACTCCTTACTATTCAGAGGCACTGCGGTATGCAATGTGAGTCATTTCTATTGTCAATGTTATTCAGAGCATCCATCCTGACAATTCCAAAAGGTGTGCGCTTGGTAGCGCTTTTGAATCTCGATACCATCCCACTTTTATCACTTTCCCGAAGACGCTCGTAGAGTTCTTTGCCGACCGTGCGAAGTCAATACTTGAAACGGAATTAGATTCCCCTTGTGTCGCAACCATTCAAGCAATGGTCATCCTGAGCAGCCATGAGATTGGAAACGGAAAAGATGCGAGAGGGTGGCTATACAGCGGTAAGCCCACCATGAAAACTGAATGATATCATTCCAGAAAACTTACTTCCTGCTTAAGGATCGGCATTGAGGCTGGCATTCGATCTTGCTTTGCACCTTGACATGTCTAGCTACGTGTCCGCAGGGATCATCTCACCGGGCGATGCAGACCTTCGCAGGACTGTCTTCTGGACTGCATACGTTGTTGACCAGTTTGTCATCCCCTTCCCACCTACATGCACTTTGAGTACGTCGTTTGTTGACTATCGTGTAGCCAGTTAGGATTCCACCTAGGCAGACCTTTTCGCACCAGCATGGAGGATGTGACAATTGGAAAGCCCCAACAATATACAGGTCCCAGAGGGCAGTGCCGATGGACACCCTACGAGCCATCGTCTTCTGTCAGCCACGACTCTGGCTTGCTGGACAACGAAGACGCAATCAGCCAACAACTAGTTTCCCTCTGTGAGCTGATGGCTTCATGCGGGTATATCCTGTAACAAACCTCTTTCAATATCACGACCGACCCAGATTGACATTTCAAACAGATACGGTACATCCAGTATCTCAAAAGAGATTCTTCAAGAGCTCAATGCCAAAATTGTCGCCGAGCTCCACAAGTGGAAAGCTACCCTTCCGCTCATTTTACAGATTAATCTTGACGACTTCACCTCGCCATACCTTCCGCATGTGCTGCTTCTCCAGTGCGTACCTTGTTTTCTTGCTACATTTCTCTTTCCCGCAATCTAATAGCACCAATGCATGCAATACCACCAGAACATAATCTACGCCCACAGACCATGGATATCAAAAAGCCACCTACAACCGCAACCACCAAGAGGACCCGGATACTCACACGCGCGCGAAATGTGCATCCAATCCGCGATCGCAATCTCTAAAATTCTCAACATGTATGATTCACGCTACACGCTACGCCGAATCAACGTACAAGCAGTGTCCATCACATCCTCCGCCATTCTTTTCCTCCTTTTCGCCGCTGTGTCAAATTACCCCTCCTACTCTCGAGGCAATATCTCACTGTATCTAACGACATGTTTCAGAGCCATGGATGAATTCACTCTTTCTTGGAAAAGCGCCCAGAGGGCAAAAGACCTTCTACTCGATTTACAGCGTCAATGGGATCTACGGACGCGGTCCAATAACCTGACACATCCGGCTGACGGGGTATTGTATACCCCGCGGAAACGTTCGAAGACTTCTAGCGGACTTTATCGGATGGTGCCTGTTTCCCATGATCTGGCTTTGCAGGTAAATCTTGATTTGGATTGTATGCTTAGGACAGAGGTGGAAGCTCTTTCTGGAAGCTATCGTCAGGATAACTTTGATATGGCCCATGATACTGGTGGTTTGGATGGTCACAGCAGTGGGTAAGCCAATGTATGATTTGGGGCCCTTGGAATATGATAAGTCGTGTACGGAGTATGCTATATACCGGTTTTGTTATGCACAACCAATTCTCAACTTTCGCATCTGGTATCATATCTCTTTCCATCCTGCCCAATTCTTCGTAATAATCCACCTACAGCCCTCGTTGCATGTTCCAACGAAAGATAAAACGTGGTAAATGGATACAAGGCGAGAGAGACAGCAATCCAGGCAAAAAAGACACCAAAGTCCAATCTAATGCGGTAATGGGTTACGAACAAAATGTACGCAATGCCTGGACGACTGCAATATTTTATTAGAATCGGCTTCACAATCAACACAGCGGCAATATAACTTACTTCGGCGCAACTGCCGCGTATACCCACATCTATAAAAATCGTTGGCGACATCGATGGCATAGAAACAGTGGTGACGTCGGTGATAACCCCGAAGATCAAGAAAAGCGAGCTCCACGGGAATTCTGGAATCATCGCCAGATTCTTGCATGGGAACCGGAGCGATGCATGCAGACTCAGTTAAGCATCCAGAAGACCCCGGAGAGCCGCCGCCGTAGGCATTGAGATTGTTGGCTGGCAGCGTATCTGGCGCAGGCGGGTTGGTGAGGTGGATCTGGAACGCCAACGAGATAAACGCGTAGAACAGCGACAGGAAGAAGTAAGCCGTGATACAGGAGAAGATACGCCAGACCAGCCAAGCGCGACCTTCAACGGCGGGTGGTCGTCAGGCTTCATCTGAGCATGAATCGGGATCGGGAATGGAAGTTGGAGAATGCGATGATGATCAACAAAATCGACCGCAGTTTCGGTCAAATGGAATGCCATGCCCTTATTATTCGGCAAAAACATTAACTATTCTTTTACACAATTTGCTTCAGCGCTCACGAGGCCTTGAGACCCCGAAGGTAACTCGCACGATTCGAAGCGCATTAGTGATTCCAAAGCAAGCATATTACTCAATTGCTTAAACTGATCACTGCAAATATGAATCCATTTGGCGAATGACAAAATTACCATTATTACGGACAAGAGCTGGTTACAGGGGTCGGAAAAAGTATTTGGGTTCCCCACTGTTACGTCATTTTGCCGCCCCCGGAACACCTCTTCATCCACGCCCGTCTTCAGGGTTGCGCTGATTGGAGGGCCGCGTTAGTTTAATGTTTTTGGGGGTCTGCTTGATTGGCCACGATCTCGGGGCCCTCGCAGGCGCTGGGATTCAAAACCCGCCCCACAGAGGTATTCCAGATTACTACAGAATGGAAAGCATGAATGGACAGGAGCCCACAATTGTGGTGTGGCTTCGTGGCTAGACGGATCATTTGAACTACGGAACTCCCAGAAAAGATCGTTATTGCACCCAGACTTTGCGATTACGTGTTAGCGTGAAGTGCAACGTTTGGTGAAAAAGCTACTGGAGCTCTGGCAACTAATAAAACCCCCGAATCCTTTCCCCCGTACCCCGTATTCACTTCTACTATATACCTTTCTTCACTCGAGGTTCTCTCTAAAAATACAGCTTGGCCATCGCCGATTCAGTTTCTAGGCACAGATGATGGTCTCTCCACTGCGTAGGAGTCTCCAAAGGCGTTGGTCTGCAGCGTCAGACGACTCTAGCCATAATTCTCTGTTGCTAATATTTCTCACTGGCGTCAGGAAAGAAAGTATTCTGCAATGGCCCACGAACCTTCCTCCTTGAGTCAGGAACCAGAAGGGCTTGTTGGGGGCTACCAAGGGGACAGCACCGTTATCAAGGTGATCATGGGCGTCCTGGTCGCCATCGTGTTGTACAATGCAGTCGAACTCACGGTCCTCATCCTCACGACATTTCGTCGCTACCAAGGTCTCTACTTTTGGTCTCTAGCGCTTTCCGCGACTGTTGGGCTTATAACCAGTGGCATCGGTAATCTCCTACATTTCTTCGACATTGGGCCGTTGAGTTTGGCCCTCGCACTATCTAATATAGGGTTCTACTTCCTGGTTCCCGCTCAATCCGTGGTTCTATACTCGCGAGTCCACTTGGTCGTTTTCAATCAGCGACTCTTACGTTTTCTCCTCCGCGCAGTGATCCTCAACGGTATCTTCTTTGCCATCCTAGTGACAATTATGTCATTCGGCTCAGCCTTCAAGCAAACCGGTCCGTGGAATGCAGGTTATAAAGTCGTGGAGCGGCTGCAAGTGACCTGGTTCTGCGTGCAAGAGTTCGTTATCTCCATGCTCTACATCCGGGAGACTGTCAAGCTACTCCAGCTTCACCCTGCGAATAATAGGCGTCGAAAAAATACCATGTACCAGCTGTTGGCCATCAATATCCTTATCATCGTTATGGATATCCTCGTTGTCGCGATCGAGTTCATCGGCTTGTATTATATACAAGTCTTGTTGAAGGACACCATTTACAGCATTAAACTCAAACTCGAATTTGCTGTACTTGGAAAATTAACTACAATTGTGGAGGCTGGTCATATTGAGCTTATCAGGAGTATCCACGATAATTGGTACGATCTCCAAAACGGCCAAAGACGTGCGCCATCTAATCTGACGGAGTGACAAATAATGTCAAATAAAGCCAGATCCCGCTTCGAAGTGCACAACGCAAATACATACGACCACTTAGAAGGGTTTCGTCTAACAGGTAGCACGTCGCTTAGTGGAAGATCTCTCTATACAACGCAAAGCGCAAAGCACAAAGACTTTCAACAACAACGATGGATTCACCCTTTCGTAATTAAATTCTTTTGCAATATAATTACGGCTCTATATCTTTCTGGCTCACGGCAATTGGCGTTCGTACCGGTTTCGGATGAGACTAGTTCGTATTTATCAATCGACATACAGGGGAGGGAAGTTAGATAAGTGCTACATGAAGATCGTGTAAAGCCCGAGAGGGAGAACCTGGGTATTTAGAGAAAGCCTGACCACGATGTATTTTAAGTTCTATGTAGCCTCGTTTCATTCCCCACTGGGCGAGACAATCTTGACTTCACTCTTCTGACACGCTACGCATGCCATTCAGGCATGATGTCTCCTCTTGACTGGAACACTTGGCTTTCGCATATCTCCCATTCTCCTACTAGACTGTCATGAGGCTATTGCAATACCAAAACCCCTGGTACCGATATATGGAAGTCTTAAGTGCGGGGTAGGGGAAATGTTTAATCCGAACTATAACTATCCGCTGTCATTTATTGTTGTAATGAAAAGAGCCATTATCAATGCATGCATTTTGAATTTAAGGGGACCGGAGCGGAGAGGGTCCGCCTACGTATCCAGAGGAATGACGTCAAATAGCGCAATGTACCAGTGGACAGCCTTGTTGACGAAAGTGACGCCGTTCAATTGTGATTTTACGTTTCATGGATGAACCAATCGCTGGTATTACCGGGGTGGGTCTATTTCGATTGGGACTAGCCAAAGCTTGCGGGAAACGAAAACCGATATCCCACGTTTCTCCAGATCCCAGATATTCATGTCTTTGAGATCATGTACGGGGTAGAATGGGGGTTTCACCTATCAGAGGAACTCTATTTCATCCAATATAAATATCGATATCTTGTACGAGTGGTCCAAGTTAATATTGTCTCACAAATTTGACAGTAGTAGATGCACTACCAAGGCACTACTAAATCAACATGTTTTTTCAAAATGCACAAGGGAAATGGCTTCAATACAGAATTACTGCAGCATGCGGTGCCGGCTTTCTTCTCTTCGGCTACGACCAAGGCGTTTTCGGGGGACTTCTAGACAATCAGCCCTTCCTAGAAACCTTTGGAAAGCCATCTGTGACCATCCAAGGTCAGATTGTTGCGACCTATGATATCGGCTGTATTATAGGAACTCTGGTGTCTATGTTTGCTGGAGACAAGCTTGGTCGCAGACTGTCAATCCTGATCGGTTGTCATATCCTCATTGTTGGTGCTATCCTACAAACAGCATCATATTCCCTCGCGCAGATGATAGTCGGCCGTGTTGTTGCTGGCATTGGAAATGGAATGAATACTATCGCGATTCCTATCTGGCAGTCAGAGACCGCACGCGCGGAGGATCGGGGCAAGTTGATCGTTGCTCAGCTGGTGACAAACATTTTCGGCATCGTCATCACGAACGTGAGTTGTATTCACCGGTATTTGGGAACGACACTAATTTAGGGCAGTGGATGAACTACGGCTTCACCTTTATCCCCCACTCCCCAGTGAGCTGGCGGTTCCCTCTCGGCTTCCAGTGCTTTTTCGCGATCGTTACCATACTCTTTGTTCTTATCGCACCGGAATCACCGCGTTGGCTTGTCATGAAACACCGCGCCAATGAAGCCCGCGAAATCCTAGCCCGGCTCCTCGCAAAATCCACCGAAGACTCGGAAGTGGTGGATGGAATACAAACTTTAGAGATTGCTGTGAACCATGAGCTCGAAGTTCAGCAAACGAAGCCTTTGCAGGAGATCTTCACGAGGAACAGCAAGCAGCAGACATTGCGCAGAATTCTTTTAGGAGCTGGGACTGCCTTCTTCCAACAGGTCGGCGGAACCAATGTCATTGCATACTATCTGCCTGTGGTTTTAACCCGGTCAGTGGGTTTGGATAACAGAATGGCTTTGATCCTGTCAGCCGTCGACTCGATGTCACTAATGTTCTGGGGCGTTATTGCGGCCTTGCTTATCGACCGAATCGGCCGAAAGAGACTGATGCTTTTTGGAGCCGCGGGCAGCAGTCTCTGCTTTGCGCTTGTTGCTGTTGGATTGCGGTACGGCGGGCCTAGCAACAGGGGCATGTCCATCCTAGCGGTTGTGTTTATCTTTGTCTACTATGTCTTCTACGGTGTGTCGCTTCTATCAATCCCTTACATCTATCCGGCGGAAATCAACTCTCAGCAAATGCGAAATGTTGGAACTTCCTTTGCCACCACTACGAATTGGTTGTTCGTATACGTTATCGTTGTTGCTACTCCTACTGCCATCGCGAACATCCAGTGGAAGTATTACATGCTTTTTGCGATTTTCAACTTCTGTTTCTTGCCAATCATTTGGTATTTCTACGTTGAGACTGCGAACCTTTCACTTGAGCAAATTGATCGGCTCTTTGAGATTAAGCATGATTCTGGGAATGCGATTAGCTGGACGGAGGCGACCATGATTGCCCGGACTGAGGTTATATCTGATTTGGCGCGCACTGAGAAGAAGGGCAACAGCGACTCTCAGCACTACGAAAATGTGGCCTGATTTGAGATATCCTTAATATGTACGACGAGCCTGGTGAACTTCTTGTTCTCTTTGGCTAAACGTTCGTTGGTTCTGGAATTTTGCGGGGGAATAACTAAGCTGGAGAGAACCCTGGGGCCCCGGGATCCGCGGCGGGACCCCTGGGCTCGACCTAAGTTATATAACCCGCGCCTGTGTCTATGAAGAAGCAGCTTGAATTGAAAGTAACCCTTCAATATTCCCATCTCCATATTCCCATTCCCTCCCAAATGTCTGCCCCAAAGGTGCGAGTTGGTGTCGCCGGTCTTGGCCGAATTGGTAAGTATTGAATCCAATCAAACTTCCTGTGTATGCAATTTACAAAAGCCAGGTCAGCACCATGCGGTAAACCACCACGCCCTCACTCCTCGTACTGAGGTGATGGCAGCAAGATCTTTCGATCTGAATGAACACAAGTGGGCTGCAGAAAACATCACAGAGGCACGTATCTACAAAGTTTTCTTTTGAGGAACTGCCCTCGGCAAGCACCGGGTGCCAACACAGGTTTTGCTTTGTAACTTCTGACACAACCCACTTGTTTAACGGCATTTTCCACTCAATCGAGTAGTGAACACAAGTGGGTGCTTACTCATCGCGAGCCCTTCCCACTTGCCAGGCATCAAGTCCTAAGTTAGTAAAGGGAGCATATCCAACACCTGGGACGGAGTAGATGTTCTCGCAGGGCACCCGTGGCTAGAGCTAATATAGCTAAATTTCGAAGGCAAGACCAGAGAAGAGAAGAATTCTTGACGGTCTTGCAGCGAAGTGCCGGGTGATTTGCGTCGCGCCCAGTCTTCCTTGATATCAATGCGCAACTGCTCCAGAGCCAGGTATTTTTGCGTTTTTCGGCTGGAACCACTCGGAATATTGAATAAAGCGGTTTTCCAGCGTCCGCATTCGACCTTTGTATAATGGATCAGCTGGTGCGTGTGAAGGTCGACTAGTTGGTGAGGAGCTGGCTCGAGTTTCGACCTTGATCGCGTGCTCTGGGCCTCGACTAGCAGCAGTCTGGTGCCCACCAGTGTTCAAGTCTTGCCCGGGGTTTTTTTTGGGGGGGAAAGGGGGGAGGGGGGAGGGGGGGGGAAATTTGGGTGGATGCAAGTTGAGGGACTGACTGCCTATGCGTTCGACGGTAGCTTAGGCTGGGCGGGGTAGCTGATTGTAGCTGCAGCTCTGCTTCTAGTGGAAGTTTGAACATCGTTGTTAATACGGGAGGCGATCTTCCTATTAAGTGTGTTGGCAGTCCTGCCAGGAAGTCATTTGAAAGTAACCTGGTCGTCATCCCCCGACTTTGGCACAGCAAATTCCCTGTGTTAATTCTCGCTCGAACTGACAATATCGTTCACTGCAGTGATAGCTTTTAGCAAAAAGGTTATATTTGTGGTAGCCTCGAGACGATTGTGAGCTTCTTTCAGCAGTTCTATCTCGTGAGCGACCTCTAGGTTTGGCTTGCTGCGGTATATCCAATCAGAACTCGCACAGCTTGAAAAACTTACAGCTCATAGGACGCACCAAATAACTGTATGTTAGTTCATCTAATGAATACTATTATTATCTTAACATCGAGTACATAGAGATGCAAATGCCGGACGAAATTGGACCACGGTGAAAATAAAAGCAACCATGAGGCAAACTAGAATAGCACACAGATTAGTTTTTCTTTTTTTCCTTTTTTTTTCCTTGACAGGAACAATTTTTGGGATTTGAAGGTGTATCTCTGAAAAGGCAAATACTCCAAACCATATCTGCCGCAGTTGATGTGCTAGGCAAGGGCCTTACCGAAGTGTGGAGCATATGGAAGTAAAGGTCATAAAAGCAATGCATGTCTGGATAGACCTCGTTTTTAGCTTATTGAATTTGTTGAGATTCATGGTGCACCAGGCGTGTAATGCCTGACCCCTCAAGGCATGAATATAGTGATCAGCATTAGACCTACTACCATTGAGAGTATAGCTCAGGAGAAATGCTCCCCATTTATATAGGATCTCTGTTATAGAGAGAGATCAGGCTTAAACAACCTCGCTGGCTTTGACATATATGCTTCCCCGTAGATTCATCGTGCAATTTCAACAGAATTTAATAGCGTGTTGGTTAAAACAATTGGATTTTAATTATTTACATGGAGGGAGGGTAGCCACTCGGTAATGAAATACGTTATATATAATATGTTGAGATTCATGGCTTCTCCGCCAAGCTAGAATCTCGTGATCAGCATTGAACCTACCATATAGAGTATAGGTCAAGAGAAATGCTCCTCATTAAATAAGATCTCTCTCATTGAGGAGAGATCAGACCTAAACAACCTCGTTGGCCTTGACAACAGCTTCCTAGTATCATTCGTCGTATACGGTTTCAACATAATACGTGAATTAAGTAAAAATTGAGAAATTTCTCCGACTGAGTTGAGGTTAAATAATCTAAAAGAAAAGTGAGATGCGAGGTGGGCATTATGAAAACCCCCTTATTTAATTACTACCCCCCCAAATCATTATAGGCAAGGATAACTGAGGTGTTCGATTCGTGTCAAGTGCTAAAGTGACGCCTTAGGTGCCGGCCGCCTCGCGTAATAGCCTATTTTCCTATACTCCGTCAAAACATCTCTAAATTCTTTTTCGCCAATTTCTCAATAACCACAAGACCGTGTATGCTCCGAAGCAAATAGGAGATAATCCAGATATTCTCTTATAAATCGCCAAAATTTGAGACCAATCGGAGCTGATTACACTGCTGCAGTTAGGGTAGGTAAAGAACCTGCCGTCGGAGGCCCACATTTTTCCTCTCATAGTGAAGGAAAAGCCCTAACGTGCAGTCACCCCGTGGGATAGGCGCCCACCCACCCCTAGGCTTAGCTCAGGCTCAGTGAGCGAATCAGGGCGCTGACATGATAACCAGTGAGTGTATCAGGGTGCTCAGGGGCGTGCTCAGATAAACTCGAGCAAAAGGCGGCAATGTCCGAGCATTAAAAAGGAAAGGGAACGCCAAGAAATGGCAGCGGAAATCAAGTACCAAGGTTGAATTTGGTCGAACTATGCATACTTGATGGGGCCGAACTCAACTCTATGAGGTAACGCCGGTAAGAACTGTATTACCGACAAAGAGCAAGTCACCAAACACAAGTTCTAGAACTGGGGACCCAAGTATCTCCGGCATGAAACTTGTCCTAACTGCAATCGAGGCAAGACCGATTGCGAATATTGCACTATCATGTCGAAGCTGCATTTGGATGTTGAGAGTCGATTCTATGTGGGGCCATTGTGACGAGTCAGAACGCCGTTAAATGGCGCCAACAGTGGATACTGTCACCTATATGCCATGCGCGAGACACGCATCTTCGTTAAATGTCGAGCGTCTGCCCTTGCGTGGTGGTTGAGAAAAAGTCGGAAATTCTATTCTCGGTCCCGTTGTTCTTCAAAAGGCGACAATTGACCCTGTCGCATACGTGTAACTCCGAGAAAACGCGCCAATTGCGGTCAATATACGTGTGTATTGGGTCCCGGTTCTATGTCTTCACTTTCTCTTCCGGAGTTCTCTAACTTTGAAATCCAGCTGCAATGAGTCTTGGCAATGAGAATGGCTCCGAGGTGATGGCAAAGTTGTCTCCTAGCGTGGTGGACGACTCTAAACAATTCCAAAAGCTGGAGCGAGAAGTGGCTTCAGACGATGAATATCCGCTTCCAACTGCAGAGGAAAGCAATACGCTTCGCAAGGTTGCGGGCTCCTTGCCTTTGGTTTCGTTCGCATTATGTCTAGTAGAGTTTGCTGAGCGCGCATCCTACTACGGTGCAAAAACCGTATTCAGCAACTTCATCCAATTCCCACTCCCTGAAGGTATGTATCTCAAACGGCGTGTTTTAAAATTTTACTAATGCGACTCAAGGTGGCAACGGAGCAGGTGCCCCCCCGCGAGACACTCAGAAAACGGCTGGCGCCTTAGGGATGGGACTCCAAGCATCATCCGGACTGACACTGTTGTTTCTCTTTCTTTCATACGTGATCCCGATTTTTGGTGGCTGGTGGGCTGATGTCCATGTTGGTCGATATAAGGCAATCTGTGTAGGCGTCTTGATCTGCGGTGTTGCCCATATTATCCAAGTCTTCGGCGCCATCCCCTCTGTTCTTCAGAGGGGCACAGCTCACGCGGCTCCACCATTCATCATCGGCCTGCTGCTTCTGGCCTTTGGCGCAGGCATATTCAAGCCTAACGTTTCGCCTCTCATCCTCGATCAAATTCCTCACAAGAAGGCCTATACTAAAACACTGAAATCGGGAGAAAAGGTCATCGTGGACCCCGAAGCTACGACAAACAGAATCATGCTTCTCTTCTATGGCTTTGTGAATGTCGGTGCTTTCTTTATGCTTGCGACTACATACTCCGAGAAATATGTTGGATTCTGGCTCTCATTTTTGCTGGCAGGCCTTATCTATCTCTTACTGCCTATTCTTCTTCTGGTTATGTATAAGAGGACATACAAGCGGCCACCGGCTGGGAGCTCGGAGGTGTCGCAGGCTTTCAAAATTATCGGGACTGCTCTTCGTCAGAGCAATTTCCAGTTCTGGCGTAAGGACTTCTGGGATAGGGCAACATCGAGCAGCCTCCAGAAGAAGGGTATCACCGTAAGCTGGACGGATAAAGCCGTTAAGGATGTTTCCAGAACAGTCGGTACGTCAAATTCACTCATGATAACATCCTCATTTCCCCTGCTTTACCTTTTTTTTTTGGAATGTTTTATCTTCTATGCAATGTTCTAATGCATTTTAGCTGCCTGCGATATATTCTGGTTCTACCCGATCTGGAACCTCAACGACGGCGGCATCGGATCTGTATCGACAAATCAAGGCGCTTCAATGGTTACCAATGGCGCACCGAACGATGTTCTCAGCAATTTCAACGCCTTGACAATCATTTTCGTCATTCCAATTCTTACCTTCATAATCTACCCTACTCTCCGTCGCTACAAGATCAACTTCGGCCCAATCAGCCGCATCACATTTGGCTTTTGCCTAGCGACCCTCGCCGGTCTCGCTGGTGCTCTAGTCCAGTGGCGTGTTTACGCGCTCTCTCCTTGCGGTAGCCAAGCCTCAACTTGTGATGAAGTAGCCCCTATCAGCATCTGGTGGCAGCTTGCGAATACTATTCTGAGTGCTTTGAGTGAATGTTTCTGCAACGTTACTGCCTATGAGCTTGCTTATGCACGTGCCCCGCATGGAATGAAGGGTTTGGTGGTGGCGTTCTTCCTCTTTATGAATGCTTTGTCCAGTGCAATTGGTGAGATTTTGCTTCCGGCGACTGCTGACCCGTGGCTGGTCTGGATCTGGGGTGCACCGGCTGTGGCGCTTGCTTTGCAGACGATTGTTTTCTGGTTCAGGTTCAGACACCTCAATAATGAATCGTGGACAGAAGAAGAAGAGCCTACTGCTGTGGTCCAGAGAGAGGAGAAGGTTTGATTTAATCGCATCGTTCTGGTAGCCAGTACGCAGGTAATTTACGACAAAAATTTAACAACATTCGTACCATACCATGTCAAGGATAGAAGTTACCGGGAGAATGTAATGCAAACTGGTTTGAGCAATTCACCGGTGATTAGCCTTTTACATTTCGCAAAGTCTAGAGAGGAGGGCTGTGTAGGTGCGTTAGTTCTATAATTCTCGCACATGAGTTGACCAACCCGTCATCTTTCACGGCGGTGCATCCGCCTTTATCGATAAATACTTCCGCTGGCGAGTAGGTCGCTCAGCCGAAGAGAAACTTAGCGAAGATTCAATCTAAAGACATCCCCCGCATTGAAGTATAGGCTCGACGTACCGGGTCCTGTTTTCCGTAGCCGAAAAAACTGCCGTTATTCATATCACTAGGAAATGACGCGAACGGCTCTAGGGTTAAGTAGTTATAAACGGGAAGATAGTGAAGCGTCGCTTACGGCTAGACTTCTCCAAAGCCCAATTTGGGTCCGACCCAAACCAAAGACAATCGACCCCCAACCGCTACCGCCGTACCGAGCCGAGTCTTTCACGGAGATTAAGATCGGTTTAGACAAACCATCAAAGAAGAGTCGATGGTAAGATCCGTACAGGAATTAGTGAGGTGACTGGGTTGGTGTTTTTTACTCATATTTGATGGAGTACAGGGCCCACCCGCTCTTTATTAGGCCTAAAAGTGCGAAAGCAATGGTGAAAAAATGACGCCGTGTCTCTTGAAAAGATGACTCAAAGTCCATCTGGGCGAGCTGATCCCGCCCCAAAGTAGGTTCCTTCCTCTGCCTCAGTACGAATACGACCAAGGTCACGATCTCCACAACTGTACCTGTTTAGTAAAGCTCCTGAGAAAGATCTTGGGTATTTCAGTGTTTCACATAAGTAGGCGACGTTCCCAGGTAAATCCTCTGTCGCGGAATTGCAGTCGCTATGCACGGTTTTCCTTCAGTTTGCTACAGCTCACGTTCCAACTGTCAATTAGCGTCGGCCATAAAGCAAACCGATTGAGGGAATTGCTCGGCAAGGTGGTTCCTGGTTTGGTAAGTTTTGTTTCGTTAGTAAAGGACCGCTGCGCTCTTCCGAGATCCAGCCATCGCGCAAGATCATATATATTGCTTTCTTGATTAACCCACCTATTCCTTGTCTTAAGTGAATGAATGGATATTAATGTATTATTTAATCAGGTTAAGAAATTACCGATGTCAGATTTGAGATGGTAAATCCAAAGTCAAGTAATCCCTTTAGCCTTTGGTATTCCCTATCATATAACTTATCTGTCAACTCTTCTAATAAACCTATCACTCACTCTTAGGGTTGGCGTAGGCGTTAGAAGGGGTTGAGGCTCCTAACACCGCTCTTGGTATTTATATTTCAATTGATTGATTGTCTTCTTTCCCTTCTTGCATGCATTTCAAGTGGCTCAAAGGATGTGTTTAAAGGAGACCTCAAACTTGTTTGACAAAGCGCTTTTTGTACTCGTCGCTGTGCGATCCACAATCGTTCCCTTAGTATGAGTAGAGAAATGCCTGGGCTTTCCCCGCCCCACGGTTTGGAGTCAGTTCGCGCCTAGGGTCGGCGGAGGGCTGGAGATACTGGCCCTCTAAATGTTTCTTATGAGGTCTACTCTCTAGTTTAGTGTCTTTGATGAATGGACTATTTTGATTAAGACTTGCCGGCTCACATTAGGGAAGTCTAATCCGAGAAAGCTCACTCTATGGTCTCCTCTAGAAGCTGGATTTGGTGTTATGAAGTGTCTGGTAATCCCGTGCTGCTTGCCGGTCACGTGGATGCAGCGAGCCGTGTTTCATGTTGCAATAGTAAATCTAGAAGATGCTGTTCTTATGAAGTTCACATTACGCCATGTGATTTCATAACAATTTTATTTTTAGTACTGTATGCTTTTAGCACGGGTCCCTATTTGATTAGGATTGGAGCGGTACATACAGAGAATGGACATTTTGGATGAATATACATCCATTGAACAAGTGAGCGAAAAGAAAGGCTCTATTAGTGAGGCTATCAGTTTATTCGCTTGCAAAAGACAAGCATTCATCTATTTCTGGGCAAGAGGGAAAGGTGAGCCATTTCGGACTATGGGGCCACAGCCTTGGGGACAGTGCGCTGTCTGCGGTTTAAGAATCAGTATGTGGGCAAGCCAGTGATCAAGTGGCGCACACTGATTGCACGGTGGAGTGGGTTATGTCGACCCGTGATGAAACCCTGGCTACAGTTCAATGCCAAGGAGCTATGGAGGGCTGTGGCTCTTGAGACAAAGGCCCAGAGCAGCTGTGGGCCCACTATTTTCTGGCTGTGGATGTAAGTTCATGGACGTACGTCCACAACTCTCGAACTGGCGCAACGGCTTAGTGGCTTCAAGATACGCTGACTTCTACATCACCAAGGCTGCATCTTCACGCTTCTTTGATCTAGCTACGAGTTCTCTTCAGACTCAGAGTAACGCTAGACCGGATTAGGTCGACGCTAGGCATACGCTTACGCTAAGTGGGGACCATGGAGCGGGACGGACTCGCCTCAGGTACACCAATCACAGGCATTGAGCCCGGAGACCGGAGGCTAATCGGATCACCGTTTGCCTACCTTGGCAGGTAGCACGTTTTATAATACATAGTATGTATAAGGGTAATAGTATCTTGATCTAAGTTTCTAAATCTCGTTATGCTAGTCTCTTTTAGTGCCTATTAGTTGTAAGTCGAGGGTGTTGGAGAGGGTGGATAGTCGAGAGGGTCCAGAACTATGACTTTCGATGGTCTTACATATTGACCCCAACTCCCTTCTTCTTTTCGAGGAATGTCCAAAAGGTTCATGCGAGGTACAGGGATCGGACATATGCACCAATCCGAGACTTCTTTTAGGCAACAATGACGCCCGTCATCACGTAGGTGATATTCAGCTTGCTGATGTGGATACCGAGTTGGGAAAACTATACGGCACGACTTTAAAACAAGTTACGGGCCTTCTATTCTCCTGGCGATGTTCTTCTTGGTGGGAAATATGGCAGAAAAGTGGACATTGTTACGTGAGGCTGAAATGATTCCTACAGTACAACAAAGACTTGGTAGGTGCCTGGGTCAGAGAAAATAGAAAATGCGCGTGATTTTTTGGAGGGTGCTCACCAATAATATTCAATAAAGACCCCATGTTGTACCGTTACATCCATTTCTCCGTCGCCCTAATCATAGTAGCCGGGGCGGGGATCGACCCTTTCCGATATTAAGTGGAATCAACCCACACTGGGACCCTGTCCGGAGCTTGGATTGGCCAAGCCCTCAATCCAGTCAAAGATCGACTGCTGGCTTGGAGCCACCCGTCCGCATCAGATTCCTTTAGCGAACGCTCGGGCCCAAGGATAATATGTCCCTTGTTTAGTGTCTCGTATTCTCCATCGCGAATTTCGTGATTCGGTTTACGTACAGAATCCCACCTGCGCAATGTCGTGTATGCACCTCATGCCTCGGCTCCCATGCCGTGTTTTCGAGCCGTGAGAAATGGCCAACAAAGCCTACAACTCTTCGATACCTCGTGTTCGTCTCCTGATATCTCACATTAGAAAGGAAGAAAGATACTCAACTTCTCTCCCGGGCCACTATTGACGTCAAAAATTGATCTCTATGTGAATGCGAGTTAATCAGTGCAGATGAGCCGATCCACCCCCGCGAGTCTGCCACAAGTGACATCTCCGGTGAATCCCAGCTACGTGGAGGATGAAGAGGCCCCCACCATCAAAGGCAAGAGAAAGCCATCTGGCCCCGACAAGCGAGAGAGCTGCCAGCGACTCAAGACAATCAGAGCGTGCGACATTTGCAAAGAGAAAAAGACTCGCTGCAGCGGGACTCGTCCATGTGCGCGTTGCCACCGACTGTCGTTGGTCTGTGAATACGAAACGACCTACTCCAGGGGACTCGGCCCGCCGCCGCCACCACCGTTGGAGCTGAGCTTCGACGATCAGCCGGACGAGCAGCAGTACTTCAAACATGACGCGAGTTTCCCAACATCCATTCAACAGCCCGTTCAGCATGAGGCTGCTCATCGTGCTCCTACGCGCAGTACCGATCTCTTGACCGCGGACTTCCAGGGAGGCTACCTAGACTTGGCGTCAGGAACCTCGTTTATCAACCGGATATGTCAGCGCCTCGACCAAGACAAGACGCCGTCCACCGGGGCCGTGAGTGTGTTGGATGGGTTCCATGGTGAACTCTCAGGCAGCCCATCTGTCACTAGGTTTGGGGACAAGCCGTATTCAAGCCTCTACAAGCTTGATTTCACCCTTCCTCCGTTGGAGAGAGCACTGGAGATGGTCGAAACGTACTTTGAATATGCCGTTGTGACCTACCGGTTCTTGCATCGCGGTCATGTCGAGCAATGGCTTCGTCAGATCTACCAGAGCAACATTTCGGCGACAAACCCGCCCACAGACCTAATGGTGGGCAGGTGCTGTATTGTGTACAGCGTTCTTGCGATTGGTACACTTTATGAGAGGCGAACTCCCGAGTCCGACGTAGATTACGATGAGCAGAGGTAAGCCCGAAGTTGGCGCATTGATCCCCCAGTCCACTTGCTGATTACCTGAAGCGAACGCTGGTTTGCCCTCTCCAAGCGGATGTCGTCCATTGAGTCGGGCGCACCACAGCTGGAGACAGTACAAGCGAGACTGAACCGAAGTCTCTACCTACTGGCGTCGTCCCGAGCCAGTGAGTGCTGGTTCGCGTTCGGTACCACCGTTCAGTTCTTGACCGCTCTTGACTTACATCGCAAATGGCCGTCCACTATGGTCGAGGAGGGTAAGGGCACATACATGGAGCAAGAACTTCGGAAGCGAACCTTTTGGAGCGTGTACACGTTGGACAAGTATCTGAGCGTGATGTTCGGCCGACCACGGTTGCTGCACGATGAGGATGTTGATCAAGAGCTTCCGGACGAGGTGACGGATCAAGACTTGTTGATCAATGAGCCGAGCATGCGATCTGGCGTGGCCGATGATGCGATGATTGCATCCGTACTGCATTACCGGTCCGTCTCCGAATTGAAGCATTATTCGAAGAGCAATCCAATTCCAGCTAACGATTAGCAGACTCTCACGCGTGCTGGCAGATATTTCAAGGAAGTTGTATACCGTCAATCCGCCGGGAGGGTCCCCTTTCGAGGCGGCCATTCTATTAACCCTCGAGTTAGAACGATGGAAGGAGGTCGCAGCCCCGTTGATGGATCGCTGGCGGTCTCAGATTCAGCAGCTTGCCTACTCGCACGCAATTATTTACATCACGCGATTATTTCTCTTGAATGACTGCAAAGATATTCCGCAATCGAGCGTCGTCACTTATGTTCACAAATGCATCGGGGCCGCCGAGGAAGTAATGACTATCATCAACGGACTCGCCAGCCGAAAGGCTCTCATCCATGGGTTTTGGTTCACCCATTACGTGTGCTTCTGTGCTATTACCGTGGTGTACATCCACATCATCAAACAGCATCAAGCGTCGGGCGATCCATCAAAGAAGGTGGAAAACAGCAGTCAGCTGCAATATTTGTTCAGCCTCGCAGAGACCTGCCAACAACATCTAGGTAAGGCCACCTGCCGGAGCAGTCCCAACCGACGCTACGGCATTATTCTGGAGCAGTTGCGTCTTCAAGTCCACCGACAAGTTGTCTCCAGTCTCCGACCAGGCGTTCAAATGGAGACAGAAGAAAATAGCCACAAGAGCCTTTCCAAAGCAGACAGTTTTCTTCCGCCTAGCTTCCATCCCGCGCCTGTTACCGCCATCTCCCCGAAGCCCAATATGGCATTCGACGCACTGCCCGCCGACCTCTTTGCCTCTCACCTTGTGGACGACTCATTCAAGTTATATGATAGCTTTGGGTTCCCGGACAGCTCTGATACTTCAGCCTGGTGGGCACAACTAGACTCCTGGGTAAGCTTGGTCATCATTTTTGTTGTGTCAAGCAAGCTGACCTGTTTTAGGCGTACACTGATCTTTCCGAGGAACCGTCCATCTTCCGGTTTTAGAGCATAATACGGTCTTGTAATAGATTTCGTATCGATCGCGTGAAGTTATTTAATGTGGTCTTCTAGCATGAATCCCTAGGCGACCTAGTTATAGGCCGATTGTGGCTATCGAGCCTTGTAGAGGAGAGGATCAAAGCCATTCCTATGACACCTTGTGAATCTAGATAATGAATCAATGAGAGCATGAAGATCTATCTCTATCATGCCTAGCCTTTCTCAGGTAATATCAGTACCTTCTTCTATTTCTTTCTTTTCCTTTCTGTTCCATAGCCTGTAGAGGAGTTGACAATGAATCCATTGTAGTTTCTGCTACTCATTAAATGTACACAGAAAAGAAGTGCACAACTTGCTATGCTCGAAAAATGCTTTATATAAGTTATATGACAACGAGGCGGCTGCAAAAAAAGATGTTCAATTTATTAGATTTAAATTCTTCAGTAGGTGAGTAGCCTTGAATTCATTAGTCGGTTGGTTGAACACCAGTAATACATTTTCGAATTATTGATTGTCTTACGAGCACTGTAAAGTCCAGTAAAATCAAAGTTTCATCATTGTCCCTTTAGTCAAGGGTCTGCCTGGTTTTTTATGTGTAGGTGTGTAATCGGCCTAACTTCCTAGGTACATCTCTCTATATAAATTCGTATCCAATATCATCTTTCGACTCTCCACTTCCGTTAACCATTCCCCTTCTCATGAGGTAGTGTCATCCAATGTTCAAGATCCATAATCCAGGGCTGCAGCCACGAATTTAACCAGCAAAGCTGCCAGTAACAAAGACCTTCTCGTGCTTCATTAGCAAGCTACAGACCAAGCAAATGGCTCCCGCAGCGATAATGGGCACGTAGGCCAACTGGATCGCCCCGGTGATACCATGGATTGCGGCTGCATATTCCTCGGAACTCGCAGAGCGGAGGAGCTGGCTCCCCACGCCCGAGATTGCATTGGAGATCTCGTCCTCACTGGCCAGGGGGAACACCTGCTTCAGGGCCTGTTGCGCGAAGTTAACGAACAGGGCGCCGGAGATACCCGTGCCGAAGACGATCCCCATCATCTGTCCGACCGTCATGAAGCCCACGCAGAAGGGGATCTCCTCGGGCTTGACCTTCATCTGTGCGATTGCGAAGCCGGCCTGGCAGAAACAGCCCACGCCAGTGCCCAGGATGATGGTGTAGCCGTAGATTTTGGCGTCGGATGTGTGTTCGTCCACGGTGTCTGTTTTGTAGCGAGGCTTGTTAGGGCGTGTTTCGTGGTATATGGGGAGTACGTGCGACGGAGGACTTACAGAGGAGGACACCGCCGATTAACTCGAGAGCAGCGCCGAAAATGTACCAGGGGTAGTAGTAGCCGGTCTTGCCCATAAACTGACCGTTGACCAGGTTGAAGGCGACCAACAGCAGAATGAAGGGCAGGAGATGGACGGAGGTTTCAACGGCTGTGCTTCCGCGGGTGAATTGGTAGTAGATGGGCAAGTAGTAGATGCCAATGAAGCTGCCGAACGTCGCCAACACTGTACGTAGTTAAACTTTACGCCATGCTTGTGTAGTAAATGTTGGGAGTACTCACTCATAGTGAGGAAGAGAACGATCAAGGTACGGCTCTTCCAGAAATGCATGGGGAACATGCGGTTCTGGAAGTTGGTTCCCAGGTTGAAGGTTTGTTGCACCACAAATAGGACCAACAGGACACCGGCGCCCACAAACAGACCAATGCTGTTTGAGCTGCTCCAGGTCCACAGAACGCCGCCGAAGTTCATGGCCATAATCGCGCATAGAAGGGTACAAATGGACAGCAGTGCTCCAATGTAGTCGATCTGGCCAAACCGCTTGATGATGGGGACATCCTTCTGGGGCCTGAAGTCGGGCAAGAGAAGGATGTAGATCGGAGCGACGACCGCTCCGACCAGAAGGTTCAGGTAGAATGCCCAACGCCAGGTCGCCTTGCTGTCGCCGAGGGCACCACCAACCACTGGACCCAGCACGGTGCCGACACCCCAAATGAACCCAGTCAGACTGAGATATTTCGGACGTTCAATGTTGTCTGTGGTCACTGACATCAATGTCAACAGACCCATGTACATTCCACAACCACCGGCACCCGCGATGGCACGACCGACGATGAAGCTGTTGATGTCTGGAGCGCCACCGCAGAGAGCCGACGCGCCCATGAACACGACCGTGCTTCCGATGTAAAGCTTCTTTGCGGAGAAGGTTCCATAGGCCTTGGACCAGATCAAGGTCGTTGCAGCCGATGCCAGAGCAAAGGAAACACCCAGCCAAGGAACCAGACTGACATGGCCAAAGGTTTCGACGACTTTCGGCTGAACATTGGCCACCACAGTATTGTCGAGCGCATACAAGAACAAGGACGAAAGCAATGCAGTGACTACTAGGGCCCACTGTGAATATGGGGTTAGCGAGGGATCAATAAACATGGATGGTTCGATGCCCTACTTTAACGCCGTGCACGTCTCTTGGGGATTGTGGCTTCTCGATCGTAGCCTCTGAGGGCGGCTCAGAGGATGAGGAGCGCAGAGAATCACTTGGAGTCTTCATTGTCGTGGTGACAAGTATCGACGAAATGTTGGTTGGTTGGAATGTGAAGCTGAGACTGGAGCTTTTGTTTGGGTTTGCCTCTGCCGTTTGTACTGATGATTGTGGCTGAGGTGAGTGTGATTATAACTCCAATTGCTAGGGACACCAGTAACTATTTATCATCATGATGCCCGGCCGATTTGTCTTACCGATGCTCTTGTCCAGCAGCCATGTTGCCGAGACGGAGTTGATTGCGCTGGCCGTGTCGGTGCCCATGACGGAAACGGACCCGGAAACTCGACTAGGCAAGGCAAATTCCTGTGCTGTCCACACTCTCTCGGGATGCCTCTGCGCCAAGCTTGAGGATCTCCGACGGAAATAGTGTGGAGTCAAGAGAGTCGAGGCAGTCAAAGCTACTATTCGTCCGGATACCCTGTGGGTCCCCGGAAATGCTTTGAAATCCAGCCTCGAAAAGCATCGTCAATGGTATATTCTCCTATCAGGAGATACGTTCGCAATGGTTAGTTATGTTATTATAAGAACGATGGCTGAAATTGCTCAAATGCTGGGATTTCGCATCGCATCTCTCGGCCGCCTTAATTCCTCCGGCTGAATTCCTGCCTCAATCTTGCCCTGATATCATGTCCGCCCAAACTGTCACGTTCCAGCGCCAGTCGACAGAACCCGCCAGTGTCATCCGCATTTACCGTCACGACGCTGTAGGCGACGCTCCGATTCCCGCGGACTCGGTTCTGCTGAAGTTTCTGGCTGCTCCCGTAAATCCCCAGGATCTGTTGGTGATTGCCGGCCGGTATCCCGTCCAGCCACACCATCGCTATAACGACGAACCCATCCCGGGATACGATGGGGTGGCTCGCGTCGAGCGCGTGGGCACGGATGTTGATGCGTTGGAGCCCGGGGACCACGTCATTCCCCGTGCCCACGGCTTGGGGACCTGGCGCACGGAAGCCGTGGTTCCGGCGGCAGCCGTGCTGAAAGTGTCGAAGAGTTTGGAACCGACGACCGCCAGTCTGCTGAAAACGGGTTGCTCGACGGCTTATCTTCTGTTAGAGAGCTGTCCCTCCCTGTGTCCGGGAGAGTGGGTCGTTCTGAATGCCGCCACGGGATGGATTGCGCGGATGGTGGTGCAATTTGCCCTGCTCAAGGGCTGTCCAAGCATCTGTGTGATTCGAGACCGGGATGATGTCGAGGCCACACGGCAGTCACTTCTCGATCAGGGCGCTCGTGTGGTCGTCACCGAGTCTCAACTTGCCAAAGAAGGCCCGGCCGCAATCGCGGCCGGGAAGCGCGTCACTCTCGCACTGGATGCGGTCTTCGGACAATCCGGTCAGCGACTCGCCGCCATGCTCGCTCCTGGGGCTACCTACATCAATTACGGGTCGCTGGGAGGTGCGGGGGGCCAATTGGTCCTGAGCCAGGAGCTAATCTTCTGGAAACAAATCACTTTCAAGAACTTCCGACTGTCCCAAGCGCTGGGTCGATACACGGAAGACGCACAGATTGACCTTCTTTCGTGGTTCACCGAGCTCTTCGAGGAAGGAAAGATCACTGCGCCACCGGTCAACCGCGTGGACTGGGAAGAAGACAGGGATGGTGGAAACCTCGAGAAGAAGGTCCAGTTGGTGTTGGCTAGAGCCGGTGGGAAAGTAGGACCGGCCGTCGGGTGCACCAAGCACGTCGTGCAGTTCTGAGTTTCTCTCTTTGTTTCTTTGCTCTGTATTCTTACACGCATATGACAAGGCTATCATGGTTTTCTTCAGCCTTTCAGTTGTGCTTGCCGATATAGCCGATTTTTGTAGACTAGACCATAGAATGTATATAAGGACACTCCTCGCAACAGGAGTATGGTAACTCAGTCCGCACCTGCGAATTTTTGGGAAGACGAAATGTCACGCGAAGCACATCCCTATCGTGATACTGGATCTCTTCATGTTCTTTATAGCCCCTGACATTGCCAAGTTAAAGATGTTGACAAACGGAGTCTCGAGTAATCGCCAAATTTGCCTGGGATAACACTCAAGCATCATCAGGATTGTGTTGATAGTCCTACTTAGCAGCAGTTCTCCTGAGTCTACATTGGAGTTAACCACCATCCGGGATCTTGTTGTCGATGTTTGCTGCAATTTATAAATTGTACATCAATAGGTTCCGATATATACATCTGTTGCCGAGATGAGGCAAATACAAGAAACACGTGATAACATCGGTCCAGGTGAAATAGAATACCATAAAAAGAATCTCAATAGTTTTACACATGTCCAAGTTTCCCTGAACCTATATCTACAATTTTCTCGGACTTTTCTGATGCGGGTTTCGCGGTCATTTCTTGAATCCGCAACACGGAGAATTCGAATCTTGGACGAGGGCTCGCAAATACGAGATAAAACAGTGTTTATATGGGCATCGTCATGAATAGAAAAGAAGGAAAAAGTCGTACCTTGTGTGTAT